TTCCTGTGTTGTCGGATCACGCACAACACTCGGAAATAAATAAACAAAGTGAACAAGATCAAGAAGATTTGATAGAAGGTGAACACACGACCATAAGCACTCGTCAAAATGCCTCGCATGTTACAACCGTGTTCCGCATTCCATTTCTTCTCGACAAGAAAAGCGCCAGATCCGAGGCCGATACAAATTGTCCAAACAAAAACGGCAACTGTGACACACCTGGATGTTGTGTACGATGTTCTGTACAAGAAGGGAAACTGAATGGCCAGAAAACGTTCAAGCGCAATAGCAAAGAGGTGGGTAATGGACAGCCCAAGTCCACAGACCCATAAACATAATTGCACCACACATCCAGCTTCCAGGTTCCTTACTCCAGACACTAGGTTATATAGAAGATCATACGGAAGGACGACTGCACCGACGGCGAAGTCAGCGATGGCGAGGCTTGAGATGAGGACGTTGCGGGGTTTTCTTAAAGGCGCTGAGAAGATAACGGTTCCAATTATGAGTAGGTTACTCAGGAGAATTAAAGGTATCATGCTGGCTTCAATCATCAGATATATAAATGATTGGTTGGTTATCATGGATGTACTTACGCAAGCTGAGTTGTTGGTAAACGGAGTCCTATTTCGATCAAGATCGGTTGCATTTGTGTTCAAATGAGTCGCGTCCATTGCTGACTGGTGACGGCAGATGACTGAGGACTGACAACTGACTGTTGACTGGGTATTGCTGACGTCTGATTACTGACTGTTGAGTGGATATTGCTGACTGTTGACAACTGATTGTTGACTGTTGACTGGTGACGGCAGATGACCGACGTCTGCCTACTGACTGATGACTGGATATTGCTGACGTCTGACTACTGACTGTTGACTGGTGACGGCAGATGACCGAGGACTGACAACTGACTGTTGACTGGGTATTACTGACGTCTGACTACTGACTGATGACTGGATATTACTGACGTCTGACTTCTGACTGTTGACTGGTGACGGCAGATGACTGAGGACTGACAACTGACTGATGACTGGATATTGCTTACGTCTGACTTCTGACTGTTGACTGGTGACGGCAGATGACTGAGGACTGACAACTGACTGATGACTGGATATTGCTGACGTCTGACTTCTGACTGTTGACTAGTGACGGCAGATGACTGAGGACTGACAACTGACTGATGACTGGATATTGCTTACGTCTGACTTCTGACTGTTGACTGGTGACGGCAGATGACTGAGGACTGACAACTGACTGTTGACTGGGTATTGCTGACGTCTGACTACTGACTGATGACTGGATATTGCTGACGTCTGACTACTGACTGGTGAGTGGTGACGGCAGATGACTGAGGACTGACAACTGACTGTTGACTGGATATTCCTGACGTCTGACTTCTGACTGTTGACTGGAGACGGCAGATGAATGGGGACGACTGGCAATTCGGTGTTGTATGATGACTGTTGAGTACTGCAACTAACCGTTTCAATAAGCATGTGATCAGCATCCGGGCTCTCAGTCCGTCAGCTCAAGTAATTGATACCGAATATGACAAAATGTCATCAAGGGTGCCCAATTAGAGCTTTCTACTGCATCATGACAGGAATGATAAATGGACAACCACCATGGAGTCTTCCTGTCAGACTGGAGTCTAATGAACCTATGCGCTGAAAGATAGAACGCGTTGGCGCTTGTATGTTGTCAACAAGAATACTCAACGTTATTTATTTTAGTTTGGAAAACCTGGACAGACATGTCCCGGAAGGAGTAAAAAATAAACTGTCGTTTCTGTATGGAAAACGGTATTAAAACATATGTGATTCTGATAGTAGAAAGATTAATAGGATCACAGTATATCACTTCCGGATGACAAAGAGTGCTTGTGTGAGTGGGTTTGGACGCCGCTTTAGACACTCAATGTATCAGATACATCACAGCATCATGAGGCAAAACCGACAAACCAGCGACTGAATGCATGCAGGACAAACCAGCGACTGAATGCATGCAGGACAAACCAGCGACTGAATGCATGCAGGACAGACCAGCGACTGAATTCATGCATGACAAACCAGCGACTGAATGCATGCAGGACAAACCAGCGACTGAATGCATGCAGGACAAACCAGCGACTGAATGCATGCAGGACAAACCAGCGAGTGAATTCATGCATGACAAACCAGCGACTGAATGCATGCAGGACAAACCAGCGAGTGAATGCATGCAGGACAAACCAGCGACTGAATGCATGCAGGACAAACCAGCGACTGAATGCATGCAGGACAAACCAGCGACTGAATGCATGCAGGACAAACCAGCGACTGAATTCATGCAGGACAAACCAGCGAGTGAATGCATGCAGGACAAACCAGCGACTGAATGCATGCAGGACAAACCAGCGACTGAATTCATGCATGACAAACCAGCGACTGAATGCATGCAGGACAAACCAGCGAGTGAATGCATGCAGGACAAACCAGCGACTGAATGCATGCAGGACAAACCAGCGACTGAATGCATGCAGGACAAACCAGCGAGTGAATGCATGCAGGACAATAAGCGGGGCACGATGACACACAATCAGGCAAGTCAGAGTCTGACCACCCTATCTCGTTATCCCTAATGAGCTGGTGTTATAACGAAATCTAGTCATTCTCTTTTTACTCAAGGGCGAATATCACATGAATTCCAAGCTGGCTGGCTCGTGCTGTAAAAGTATTTTGTCAAGAATTTTCTGGGACAATTTAGTTTTTCGATAAAATGCCGGTTTTCAAACAGTTTAATGTTGACAAGTGGAGGATTTTTCAAGACTTGACGCACCAATAACAAAATGATGACCGTATAAATTAACTATTTTGACTTGTGCCATATGTTCGCGTGTTTTTGTTTCAGGTAAACAATTGTCTTGCCTTTGCATGTGTTTGCGACGGGCGCCACCGGTGGGACAGGATACGTTCACATCACCCCTAGTCCATAAACACACGCTAATGGTATTACCAGAATCATACGATGGACTCAGCTTTAGTAAAGTTTATTTATGATCTTGGAAAGCTTTTTTCGTCGCTTTTGATATATTTTCTGACGAAATACATCATTTTTTGTTGGTGACAGAGCGATACACTTATATTAAATTACAGAAATCGAAATCGATTATGCAATGACATAGTATGTTACTATTCCATGACAATAGTTATTTCGTCTACCCTTTCAGTTGCTTCTTCGCATAATATGAGTGAGTGAGTGAGTTGCTTTTAACGCCACTTTGAACAGTATTCCTTCTTGGACATTTTCCACTTTGGTGAAACCCACAAACATGGGTATGGTGATGACAAACCTAGAAACATAATCGGGGTGAACCAGGATTCAAACCCACAATCATAGGTTTCTGGCTTGTCCAAGGGAGGCAACTCTGCACAGCGAATTGCGACACCTTAGGCGATATCACATCACACAATATAATCTGGAAGAACAAACATGTGCAGTGGTTTTACCATCTTCCCGAGGCAAGAGAGTTAGCTGACTCTCATTTTATAGAATAAAAAAAAATATTTGTTGAGGCTCAGTTGATGGTACACATGCTTTGCAAATCCTGCAATCGACCTAAATCTGCACGGCAATTTACGAACCGGATGTAAAATTCGTTACGCGAATTTGATTGGCCTATGCACAGACTCGTTAGTCCAGCCTGGTTCGGCAAGGGACTTCTATAGTCATTTAACTCCCTTGCATCGGGAAGTTGTGTTTCTACATCTTTCATTATGTATCGGTGGTATCTTAGATGTTTATCAACACTAGATCAACGTCGCATGTATATATTTCTACAAGACACGTGGAAATTCGGAATATATGAAATTAATTAAAGCGTGTTGCTTAACTTTATTAATCTTACGTGTACGGGGCATATTTGACATAAATTATAAATATAAATTTATTATTATATAAGAATTTAAACGCCAATGCAAGAGAGTAACCAGTCAGGTTAGCCGCCGAAACTGATTCCATTTGGCGTGCAGGTCAAAGCAGATGTGAAAAGTATTTAAGTGCACCACTGAAAATCAGTGATGACACCAGGTATTAAGGAAATATACACCAGTGGTGACACCAGGAGTTATAGAAATAGACACCAGAGAAGACACAAGATGCTATCGAAAGAGACCAGTGGTGACACCAGGTGTTAAAAAAATATACACCAGTGGTGACACCAGGTGTTATAGAAATAGACACCAGTGGTGACACCAGGTGTTATAGAAATAGACACCAGTGGTGACACCAGGTGTTATAGAAAAAGACACAAGAGAAGACACAAGACGTTATCGAAAGAGACCAGTGGTGACACCAGGTGTTATAGAAATAGACACCAGAGAAGACACAAGATGCTATCGAAAGAGACCAGTGGTGACACCAGGTGTTAAGGAAATATACACCATAGGTGACACCAGGTGTTAAGGAAATATACACCAGTGGTGACACCAGGTGTTATAGAAATAGACACCAGTGGTGACACCAGGTGTTATAGAAATAGACACCAGAGAAGACACAAGATGCTATCGAAAGAGACCAGTGGTGACACCAGGTGTTAAGGAAATATACACCAGTGGTGACACCAGGTGTTATAGAAATAGACACCAGTGGTGACACCAGGTGTTATAGAAATAGACACCAGAGAAGACACAAGACGTTATCGAAAGAGACCAGTGGTGACACCAGGTATTATAGAAATAGACACCAGAGAAGACACAAGATGCTATCGAAAAGGACCAGTGGTGACACCAGGTGTTATAGAAATAGACACCAGAGAAGACACAAGACGTTATCGAAAGAGACCAGTGGTGACACCAGGTGTAAACAGAAAGAGACAACATCGATAACACAAGACGTTATGGAAAGAGGCACCAGTTATGACACCAGGTGTTAAAGAAATAGAATGTATGTCAGCTGTCTGTACCACACTGGCGTGGGTGTATATAGACCAGTCAGTCCACGGTTAACACGTTTATCACGAGATAAGGCGAGGTGGACAAGAAACCGGGGAACACGATGAGAACCAGACTCGGTGCTTTCTTGTTTACTTTTGCCATTTTTATTGTGCTTGCTTCTTGTGAAGTGGTCATAAAACAAAAATTGGACCATGGATTTTTAGCCGACCTGATTCTACACGCACCAAAGTCACTACATGGCTGGAGAGTACATGTCCTTTTCTCAACACCCGTGAACAAAATTGACGTGAGCACATTTTATCAGCTGACCTTATTAATGCTGAATTGTCCTTGGGCTACCTTTGTGTAGTCTTGATAAGCAATTGCTTGAAATTGATTGAGGGATGGGTTAATAAAAAGTATTTTGCTTCACTATGGGATCAAATACATTAATTGCCAAATGAGGGAATGTATACTTGCATACGTAATAACGGTAATACTGTAAATTTCGCATGGACATGCAGACTTGAGAATATTTGAAGTTGGCAATCTGATTGGTTAAAAAGTTGTTTGGTGGGCTTTGAAACATACTGCGCATGACTATTTCTTGACAAGCATTTCTTTTGTCTTAATATGATATTTGCAAAACGTTGCTTCGGCTTGGCTTGGCAGTACACATTAAATTTGGATAACAGCTGAAAAGACCAAGGTCGATTTCATTGTGTATCACTAATCTCGTATTCAGTGATATATTTGACGAATCGTCAATATTTCTACATGGCCTTTATTCTACCAGTATATTATGGATGCGAAAGAAGGTTTGTGTGTCCTCTGATCGGTAACAAATAAAGCATGTATCAAAAACCTCCCCAGTAGGTTAAAGCAATGACATCAAAACATATTGATATTTCTGCTCAAATAGTGAGTGAGTGAGTGAGTATGGTTTTACGCCGCTTTTAGCAATATTCCAGCAATATCACGGGACACCAGAAATGGGCTTCACACATTGTACCCATGTTGGGAATCGAACACGGGTCTTTGGCATGACGAGCGAACGCTTTAACCACAAGGCTATCCGACCGCTCCCTGCTCAAATAGAAATCCATGGGTCCAATGTGAAAGCATGAGAAAGTTGTATAAAGTGCGTCTGAAATATTTGTCGTAGGAATGTTATATAATTACTACTGAGGTGGAATGCACTCTTCTATGCTTTCTGTGTTGCTTATATATCATAATTGTATATCGGAGTTACCAATGGAGAGTTGTTCATTGACTATTTAAACTAAAACAACGTTGTGCATGTAACCATTTTGAAAAATCCAAAATAGGTTTTATTAAGAAAAGGCCCTCGTATCCTTGAGGACAGATATGGGATGCCCATGTGGTACAGAGCCTCAACAACGGCCGGGAATTTGTCATCGCCAACAAGAATTACAACAAGGACCTTCGTTCAGGCGAAACCATCAAAATGGAAATCGAAGCTCACACAAGCATCCATGCCCTGCCAACTGCATCTCTGTACTTTGAGGGATTCCAAACATCCGGTCAGCCAACCACGGCCTCGCTGAGCAGTCACGTGACGACGACACCAATGACGTCACATCACGGAGGTAATCTACTCATAAACCTAAACGATGCTTTTGTTGAATATCGAAAGCTTATTGTTGATGTTATTTTTAAGAAGTTGGTTTTACTTTTGTCCGCACTGATTTTCAGTGATCCATTCACATATTTTTCATGGCTATTTTGTCATTTACGCAAATGGGATTTGTTTCGTTGGATAATCGAGACTGGTCTACGTTTAGGTGGAAACAACAAATACAACTACACGAAGTTACTTGGAGATTCCATTCTGTTTTACGAGGCCCAGCGATCCGGCAAACTGCCCACAGACAACAGGATCCCCTGGAGGGGGGACTCGGCGTTAGGGGACAAGGGGGACCACGGGGAAGATCTCACAGGGGGATGGTATGACGGTGAGTTTCATTTGGATGTCTGACAGGAGTGGCCCAGTCGTCAAAGGAAACGCTCTGCGTTGTACGGAGTAGCCTCCCTTAGACCGAAACCTTTGATGTGGGTTCGAATCCCAGCTTTTCCCTGATTATGTTTATAGGTTTCTCCGCACCATACCCGTGGGTTTCACCCGAGTGGTAAACGTCAAGGACCTGCATCACTTCGGTTAGATCAATCTAACACGCCGTCATAGAACTCAAAAAATGTTCAAAGCGGCTTTAAATCAACCCCTTACACTCACTAGCTCATTATCTTACAATGAGTTGAGGTGGGAGAGTGGATGCGCCAGTGTCTTCGTTAATCAGCTCATTTTATCAGTACCTCTCCGTGGTTCTATTTGTCAGCCGGAGATCACATCAAATTTAATTTTCCAATGGGGGCGTCCGTGACCTTGTTGACCTGGGGACTGCTCAAGTTCAAGGACGCATACGTGACATCGGATCAACTGGACCATATGTACAGCTGCATAAAATGGCCGCTTGACTACTTCCTTAAGTGCTGGGAGCCAACGAGACAAGAACTTTACGTACAGGTTGGTTTCATCCGCAGAGTATACTATCTTAATGCCATTATGAGGGGGCACGGATGGCCCAGTCGTCTAAGGCGCCGCGATTCGCCCCGATTATGTTTCTAGGTTTGTCAGCACCATGCCCGTGCTCGTGGGTTTCACCGAACTGGTAAACGTCTGAGACCAGCATCACTTCGGGCTTTCCTCCCACATTAAGCTGACACGCCGTCATATAACTGGAATACTGTTAAAAGCGGCGTTAAACCCAACTCACTCACTCACCATTATGAGTTATGCAGAATGTCCGAATAACTCACCAATCCTTAAACATGTATGTAGGCCCCGAGGTATTTTCTTGTCAGAAATATCTAAAAGATAATGTGCAAACAGACATTTTTTATATTTTTCATAACACAGTTCAACTTCATTAACATACAATCATAGCTATAATTGTATATTAAAGAAGTTGCTTTCATAAATTGTGTCTACCTTGTCATCCGTCATTGCCTCTCAGACAATTCATGTACATGTTACAGCAGTAAATATCTTGTACGTTTCGTAATACTTGTAACAAATCCAAACTACTGTTCACGGTTGTCTACGATTGCGTGGTAAGAAATGTGTATCTACCATCCCATAATATCCATTTCATATTCAGCTGTAACACTTTACCACAATTGTATTCGCAAAAAGTCAGAAGCACATCAATTAAGATCGTTCAGCTTCTTCCAGATATACTCATTCAAACATGTGATTTTCAGTACGACTGTTTCGTTATGTTTTAAAACTAATATATCAATGGCAAATTCTGTACTGATTATGCCGTCTTACATGAAAGACAAATGAGAAACGCGCGTACCACTGTCAAGCAAACGAATGACCCGCTGTTATTCCCGTCAACGCAAAGCCAGCTTCCGCTTTCACCGGAAGTAGACTAGATACCATTAGTAAAGAAAACTAAATGACAGAATGTTTTGATGTCTACATCTCACACGATTCACGATCGGATTTGTGATGTCAATGTTACTCTTTCTGAGTTGACAGAACTCGTTTTCATTTGGCGAATTCAACATGGCGAGTTTGACGTTTTTGTCTCAGTGAAAGTACATTTCTAATTCACACTGTGAGGTCATCCCCAAATTGCTTTTTTCTAAACAGCGTTGAAACTATGAACGAATGAATAGGGCTCTACTTCAAGGTCTGGAATAAGAGATATATCACAGATATATGTAAGAATATGTAAACCAATGGTCGACTCTTGTAGATAAAAGAATATCAATTAGAATATCAATTCAAGGGCATTCTTACCAGTGTATTGGTAAGTGTTGTTTAACGCCACAACCCACAATGTCACACAACGGAACAATGTCCCTGCTGTATAATGGAGGCTGGTAGATGATGGCACCAGTTCTTCATAGCGATGTCACAATGTCACACAACGGAACAATGACCCTGCTGTATAATGGAGGCTGGTAGATGATGGCACCAGTGCTTCATAGCGATGTCACATTGTCACACAACGGACCAATGTCCGCATTATGTATAATGGAGGCTGCTAGATGATGGCAACGGAACAATGTTCCAGCTGTATAATGGAGGCTGGTAGATGATGGCACCAGTGCTTCATAGCGATGTCACAATGTCACACAACGGAACAATGTCCCTGCTGTATAATGGAGGCTGGTAGATGATGGCACCAGTGCTTCATAGCGATGTCACAATGTCACACAACGGAACAATGTCCCTGCTGTATAATGGAGGCTGGTAGATGATGGCACCAGTTCTTCATAGCGATGTCACAATGTCACACAACGGAACAATGTCCCTGCTGTATAATGGAGGCTGGTAGATGATGGCACCAGTTCTTCATAGCGATGTCACAATGTCACACAACGGAACAATGTCCCTGCTGTATAATGGAGGCTGGTAGATGATGGCACCAGTGCTTCATAGCGATGTCACAATGTCACACAACGGAACAATGTCCCTGCTGTATAATGGAGGCTGGTTGATGATGGCACCAGTGCTTCATAGCGATGTCACAATGTCACACAACGGAACAATGTCCCTGCTGTATAATGGAGGCTGGTTGATGATGGCACCAGTGCTTCATAGCGATGTCACAATGTCACACAACGGAACAATGTCCCTGCTGTATAATGGAGGCTGGTAGATGATGGCACCAGTGCTTCATAGCGATGTCACAATGTCACACAACGGAACAATGTCCCTGCTGTATAATGGAGGCTGGTAGATGATGGCACCAGTTCTTCATAGCGATGTCACAATGTCACACAACGGAACAATGTCCCTGCTGTATAATGGAGGCTGGTAGATGATGGCACCAGTGCTTCATAGCGATGTCACAATGTCACACAACGGAACAATGTCCCTGCTGTATAATGGAGGCTGGTTGATGATGGCACCAGTGCTTCATAGCGATGTCACAATGTCACACAACGGAACAATGTCCCTGCTGTATAATGGAGGCTGGTAGATGATGGCACCAGTGCTTCATAGCGATGTCACAATGTCACACAACGGAACAATGTCCCTGCTGTATAATGGAGGCTGGTTGATGATGGCACCAGTGCTTCATAGCGATGTCACAATGTCACACAACGGAACAATGTCCCTGCTGTATAATGGAGGCTGGTAGATGATGGCACCAGTTCTTCATAGCGATGTCACAATGTCACACAACGGAACAATGTCCCTGCTGTATAATGGAGGCTGGTTGATGATGGCACCAGTGCTTCATAGCGATGTCACAATGTCACACAACGGAACAATGTCCCTGCTGTATAATGGAGGCTGGTAGATGATGGCACCAGTGCTTCATAGCGATGTCACAATGTCACACAACGGAACAATGTCCCTGCTGTATAATGGAGGCTGGTAGATGATGGCACCAGTGCTTCATAGCGATGTCACAATGTCACACAACGGAACAATGACCCTGCTGTATAATGGAGGCTGGTAGATGATGGCACCAGTGCTTCATAGCGATGTCACATTGTCACACAACGGACCAATGTCCGCATTATGTATAATGGAGGCTGCTAGATGATGGCAACGGAACAATGTCCCTGCTGTATAATGGAGGCTGCTAGATGATGGCAACGGAACAATGTTCCAGCTGTATAATGGAGGCTGCTAGATGATGGCACCAGTGCTTCAAAGCGATGGCACTGATTTTCAATGATCGATTCATATAATTTTCATCGCTATTTTGCCTTTTACGTCCAGATTGTCGAGCCTGGCTGTTTTCTTGCGTTGACGTGGCATATCTAGATGAACATTGCTCACTCAAACCTGTCTGTTCTTGATACATATGTGTGTACGCTTTTGAAGATGTTTTCGTTGACATGATTAAGGAAAGCTGAATTTCCAACAAACATCAAGTTCATATGCATATGAAAGCAATCTTCCACATTTAATAATTGTGGGTATGTGAATTAGTTCCGTCAAAATAAAAAAAACCGACATCACATTAATGAAAATATATGCTTTCACAAGGGTTGCCACATTAGCAGTTTGCATCTTTGTTGTTGTTTTGGGTTTTTTTACGCCGCACTCCGCAATATTCCAGCTAAATGCCAGCGGTCTGTAAATAAGACAAGTGATTGACATAGTGAGTATCGATCTACGCAATTAAAACATGATGCCATGCATAAACAATGTCACCGAGCCTGGCCACCTGATCCCGTAAGATGCCTCTTACGGCAAGCATGGTTGAAGGTCAATTCTAACTTAGTATGTATAATGCATTTGACATATGGTCGAATTTGGATTTATCTGTGTTTAAACTGGATTTATTTATTTTATAAAAGAAAATCCCTTGTTGAATGGGATACTGTGGGTATAGGACCTCCGAAATCCACAACCGTCGTGTTATTATAAACTCAAGTGTCATACATACTTGTATATTAAGTTCCATCACGTGTTCTCCCTATTACCGTTGTATCGTTATTGTCCCCACCTGAACCGCCCCTGATAACATTAATCCAAAGGTGTTTGAATAGGAGTGAGTGAGTGAGTTGGGTTTAACGCCGCTTTTAACAGTATTCCAGATATATCGCGGCGTGTCAGCTTAGTGTGGGAGGAAAGCCCGAAGTGATGCAGGTCTCATACGTTTACCACTTCGGTGAAACCCACAGGCACGGGTATGGTGCTGACAAACCTAGAAACATAATCGGGGCGAACCGGGATTCGAACCCACAATCATAGGCTTCTGTCGTGCCCAAGGGACGCAACTCTAGATTTACACAGATTTTCAGTGATCCATTCATAAAATTGTCCTTTTGAGCCCAATCTGTTTCGACAGATAATCGAGACGTAGTATTCTCTGGCGTTGACCTTTTCAATTTACACCGTGTTTAGCATGTTGAATATGACGTCACTTTTTAGGTTGGCAAAGGCAAAATTGACCACGATGTGTTTGGTCGTGCTGAGGACATGACTATGCCCCGTCCAGCATACAAGGTGACAGCAGCGCATCCCGGAAGTGACGTAGCTGGTCAAATGGCTGCAGCAATGGCGGCTGGAGCAATTGCTTTTGAAACAAAAGGTAGGAATTCATTTGTTTTCACACTTACAGACAAAGAACAAGGTGAGGTGAGGTGAATTTGGGTTTAACGCCGCGTCCAAGATTATTGCACTTACATAGCGACGTACATGCACGTGTGTGTGGCTTCTTGTACTAGTTTGGACTGATGCCATTTTTTATCGTGCTAGCTCACTGAGATACCATGCCGCAGATTAAAATGAATACCCCACTAGTATGCTGACTCCGAGCCGACCAGTCCTTGTTTTAGCCGCTCAATGCCGAGCGCCAGACAGGGAAACAACAAGTACCATCTTTTAACGTCTTTTGGTATGACGCGGCAGGGGATCGAACCCCGGACCTTCCTCTCTCCGGGCAGACACTCTATCCACTATACCACGGAGGCGGTCCCCGGGAAGACACTCCATCCACTTCATCACGGAGGCGGTCTCAGGGCAGACGCTCGATCCACTACATCACGGAGGCGGTGTCCGGGCAGACACTCTATCCACTACATCACGGAGGCGGTCTCAGGGCAAACACTCTATCCACTACATCACGGAGGCGGTCTCAGGGCAGACACTCTATCCACTACATCACGGAGGCGGTCTCAGGGCAAACACTCTATCCACTACATCACGGAGGCGGTCTCAGGGCAAACACTCTATCCACTACATCACGGAGGCGGTCTCAGGGCAAACACTCTATCCACTACATCACGGAGGCGGTCTCAGGGCAAACACTCTATCCACTACATCACGGAGGCGGTCTCAGGGCAAACACTCTATCCACTACATCACGGAGGCGGTCTCAGGGCAAACACTCTATCCACTACATCACGGAGGCGGTCTCAGGGCAAACACTCTATCCACTACATCACGGAGGCGGTCTCAGGGCAGACGCTCGATCCACTACATCACGGAGGCGGTCTCAGGGCAAACACTCTATCCACTACATCACGGAGGCGGTCTCAGGGCAAACACTCTATCCACTACATCACGGAGGCGGTCTCAGGGCAGACGCTCTATCCACTTCATCACAGAGGCGGTCTCTGGGCAGACGCTCAATCCACTATACCACGGAGTCGGTCCCCGGGAAGACACTCCATCCACTATACCACGGAGTCGGTCTCCGGGAAGACGCTCTATCCACTCCACCACTGATGCGATCTCCGGGCAGGCGCACTACAAACAGAACAGAAAAAATGTTTTGTTATATAATGTCAAACGTCACCTCCCACACGTTCTTCATTCAGAAGAAAAACATACGTTTATTATACATCCGGGATCTTAGGGATCCGTTAGCCGCCAAGTGCACTTTCAACGCATTGTGTTTTCAGACAAGGCATATGCTACAAAGCTGCTGACAGCCGCTAAAAGCCTCTATGAATTTGCAAAGGCCCACCATGGAAAGTACAGTGACAGCGTGACGGATGCGAAGGAATTCTATGGGTAAGTTGTGAGGAGAAATGTAGCACTGCGCCGTAGATGCTGTACATCAACCAAAGCATGCCGCAGATTTATACTCACTTCTTACGCAGCTTTGGGGCATCTAGCAATATTGCGACGGAGTCGTGTAACCAGCCCCCAATTATGTTGAGGATTCCCCATGCTTGTCGCAGGTCCTCCGGCTTCCGGGACGAGCTGGCCCTGGCCGCAGTCTGGCTGTTCAAGGCCAGCAAGGAGTCCCAGTACTTGCAGGAGGCGGAGCAGTACGTCGCCACAGACACGGCCTGGGCGCTGGATTGGGATGACAAGGGCGTCGCTGCACAGGTTAACGTCAACAGTTAGATGTGATTACTTCAGGGCCCTGTGTATTTTACTATTGTGCGCTGCATTGGGTTATTGACCAATGTATAATTCATACTAGAAATCTGAACAAATCCGCTGATACCTATCCGTGTTTGTTTGTTGTTTTACGCCGTACTCACCAATATACCAGCTATATGACGGCGATCTCAAAATAATCGCGTTTTGACCAGACAATCTAGTGATTGATATTTTGCGCATCGATCCACAATACGATGACATGCATCAGCGTGCCTGACCACCAGATCCCGTTTGTCGTCTTTCGACAAGCAGTCGCCTCTTACGACAAACAGTCACCTCTTACCAATTTTAACCCGGGTCTTAACCGGTCTCCTGTCCGTGTTACATGGACCCAAAGCGCCTACATGTATGTGGCATGACACGCTCTGTCATTCACAGATGCTTCTGTATGAAGTGACGAAGGACAACAAATACAGTGGAATGGTGGAGGACTTTCTGAAGGACTTCATGCCCGGGGGAACTGTGCAGTACACTCCGTGTGGCCTGGTCTTCAGGGACAAGTGGGGGCCTTTCAGCTATGCGGGTAAGTTTCAGAGAGAAGCGAAGACCATTCAGCTATGCAGGTAAGTTTCAGTGAGAAGTGGAGACCATTCATCTATGCAGGTAATTTTCAGAGAGAAGTGGAGACCATTCATCTATGCAGGTAAGTTTCAGAGAGAAGTGGAGACCATTCATCTATGCAGGTAAGTTTCAGAGAGAAGTGGAGACCATTCATCTATGCAGGTAAGTTTCAGAGAGAAGTGGAGACCATTCATCTATGCAGGTAAGTTTCAGAGAGAAGCGGAGATCATTCAGCTATGCAGGTAAGTTTCAGAGAGAAGTGGAGATCATTCAGCTATGCAGGTAGGTTTCAGAGAGAAGTGGAGACCATTCAGCTATGCAGGTAGGTTTCAGAGAGAAGTGGAGATCATTCAGCTGTGCAGGTAAGTTTAAGACACAAGTGGAGACCATTCAGCTATGCGGGTAGACTTCAGAGACAAGTTGGGGCCACGCAGATATGCAGCGTAAGTTTCATCAGGGAGAGTGAGTAAGTAGGTATAATTTTAGTCCACTTTAAGCAATATTCCAGGTGGGTGGGGGACACCAGAAATGGGCTTCACACAGTGTGCCCTTGTGGGGAATCGAACGTTGGTCTTCAACGTGACGAGCGAACGCTTTAACCACTAGGCTGCCCCACCGCCCAAGGCAGACTGTAAAAATATATATGTAGAGCCTGTATGTCGAGACAAATAGACATTCAGCTGTGACTTTGGGGGACAATTCAACTGCGGTGGTAACACCAAAATGATGTCGTCCTCCCATTTCTTCGGGTGTGGAATGTTTTCTGAGGCCAACGGTATTCAATGAAGACATACACCACAAGACAAGGGCTGTTTAGCAGGGCATGAAAACCTGGTGTCATCACTAATGTGTACAGTGATTCATGTTTGTAGGGACCCGTGAAGATTCTGGGTAGAATAGGTCTTCAACAACCCATGCTTGCCGTAGAAGGCCACTATGCTTGTCGTAAAAGGCGACTAACGGGATCGGGTGGTCAGGCTCGCTGACTTGGTTGACGCATGTCATCGATCCCAGTTGCGTGGATCGATGCTCCCGATATTAATCACTGGATTGTCTGGTCCAGACTCGATTATTTACAGACCGCCGTCATATAGCTGGAATATTGCTGAGTGCGGCGTTAAACAACAAACCAACCAACCAACCAACCATGATTGTAGGCTCTTGAATTCGTGACATACATACGCATCATGCCTTGAGAGTATTTCCATTTCCAGCCAATGCAGCCATGTTGGCTTTAATAGCGGCCGAGGATGGCCTTCACCCTGACTCCTACCGCGCGTGGGCAGAGGGTCAGATTGCCTACATGCTGGGCAACAACAAGTACCACATGAGCTTCGTAGTCGGCTATGGATCCAAATACCCGCTACATGTCCATCATGCTGGAAGGTAAATAGATGGTAGTGATTCTATATTGCTCGATAGGCTCGACAGGGCATAAGATGAGCTTTGTAATCGGGAGAGGTTGTGTGCCATAATGTTAACGCTGCCTTGAAGAGTATTTAAGTTATATCACGGCCTGTTGCTTTGATGCTGGGTAAGTGAGTGAGTCGAGTTTGTCGCCGCCTTGAACCGTGTTTACGTTACATCACGGCGTGTTGGCTTGATGCTGAGTGAGAGAGTTTTTCACCGCTTTGATCAGTATATCGATTTGGCATTATTCAACATCACTGAGGCGTTAACGTTGACCACGTGACACAGGATAGACGTGAACCCCTTTGGGGAAACCTAGGAGTACAGTGAGGTGTTGGTGAGCCAAGGTTCGAATCTGGGATTCGATCACAAGACCAAGCCTCTTAATCCAACATGGCGACTCACATTGTACAAATATTTGCCTTTGACCAGAATCGAACCGATGTCTAAAGAATAATCTTTTAGACTAGATCTACCATTCAAAAGCTTCATGTCATTTTCAATATACTGACTCGTGATGAACCGGGTAGAGAATAGGTTTAGAATAGCAACTAACGGGATCGGGTGGTCAGGCTCGCTGACTTGGTTGATGCATGTCATTGTATCCTAACTGCGTGAATCGATGCTAATGATGTCAATCCCTGGATCGCCTGTCCAGACTCAATTATTTACAGACCGCCGTCACATTGCTGGAATATTGCTGAGTGCGGCATTAAAAAACAAACAAACAAATATTTGTAATAATAAAAATAAACACTTTGTTATCATGAATATCAAAGTTTGAACCCATCATACATGTAATGAAATTATATGTGTGAAAGTTTCACACCTGGGAAAGAAATAATAAATGTGTGACCCTATAACACTTGTGGATAGGTCTGTTTTGATCCCAGGCGACGCCATTTTGATGCTGTGCCGTGGAAGGACTCATATTGTCTAGCTGTCCGTTTGCCCCTTTGTCCCTCCTTAACACGCCATTCGTCATCACTCGCCGCTTTCCGTAACTTGCAAGAAGACTCGTCCCCCAATCGATGAATGTTATGAGTGAAAATACCACAAACCAATCAGAATGCGCTTATGACTTCAAGTACATCGGTCAAAGAATACCTCGGGAATAATGTTTGCTTTTACATCTCTCTTGCGTCAAAACAGCATCTGGAACATATATGTCATGGAGAAAATATACGTGAAATCATTACTCAACGAGTTGACAATTCTTTTAACTATGTTCGTTTGCGCTAAGAACCCAATCGCAAAAATGGCTACGAGGGGCACGAGTCGCTATTGGGCTTGTCCCGGAATAACAAGAGTCGGTCACGAATGCTCAACACTCCTGTGGTAACCTAGAGGACGTACGTATCCCTCCAGACGTTGCGGCACTTCAGGTCACTTGGACACTCGCGGTTCTTGTCTTTAAGCAAATCCACGTAACTAAAAAGAACCCTAAGCCATCACCATTGTCTTTTATTTTTCTTTCGTTTTTTAACAGTATTTGAATCCCAATCACGGTGTGTCGTCTTACATAGGGGGAACGTTACTTTGGTGTAAAAAAGTACAGAAAACGCGCCGACAGGATTACTTTTTATTAAGTACGAGGGCAAACATATCGGGGTTCATAAAGTCATATGTGCCAAATGCTCCAGCACGTGCCCGAATCCTCCTGCAACATGTGACTGGGGAACGTTCGACTCCCCAGCTCCGAACGCTCACGTGCTGTACGGAGCGCTGGTTGGAGGACCTGATGGCCAGGACAACTACAAGGACGTTAGGAACGACTACATCCACAACGAGGTGGCGTGCGACTACAACGCCGGCTTTCAGTCTGCTGTAGCAGGTATGTTTGTGTTGAGTGAGTGAGTCTGTGAGTGAGTGATGAGTGAGTGATGAGTGAGCGTGGTTTAATGTATATGATGGTGTAGTGCGGGTACGGGTATCGTACTAACAACTCTAGGAACATAATCAGGACCAATCTTGTATTCTGGTACGCCCAAGGGCCGCAACTCAGCGAATTGCGACGCCTGAGACCACTAAGCATATTTCAAATGAAATGTTACATTTTCTCATCCACATGAAGATTGTTACTGAACGTGTTTGTTTGTTTGTTTGTTCTTTAACGCCTCAATCAGCAATATCCCAGCTATATGACAAACACTGAGCTTCTACAAGCCTCTTACGAATATTTCCTGTTCGCATCTACTACAACAACGTGTTTCTCCTTTGCAGGTCTGCTGCACTTACAACACAGGAACCAGCTCCCCGCACCCAGCCTTCATGGGTGTACTTAGTGGATCTCCCGTCTGTGTTTGTAACAATAACACAGATCATTAAATGTCATTGTAGGAGTTAATGTACCCTGTAATTGATCTTTCCGAACCATTCAAAACATTGCAAGTCAAAAATCACGATTCTACTTCCGGAATCCACAGATTCTACTTCCGGAATCCTCAGATTCAAGTTATTTATCTATGGCTGAAACATAATTTCTCGATAACTTTGCATAATAACGTTTTGTTGCGTCAGTTTTACTTATTTAAATGTACGTTCAGAATAGCCAGTTAAGGCTCGGAATCAACTGCAAGACCAATATCATAATAGTCTTGGTTAAAGTTTATCCGGTCTTAAATACATTTCCGTATATTGAATGTACAAGATCACAGCTCCAATATTATTTCTGTCTGCGTTGTTCGATATGGAAAATTAAGTGTGACCGAAAATGGCGGTAAGAAAAGGTAATGGACTAAAATGGATGGCGAAAGCATTCTGCATCCTCGTATCTTAAAAATGTCGCAGCGTAGAGACAGCCGGGAACCAGCAGAATTCACATTCCATCAGCTAGTTAGTACGGCTCCATGCTGCTTTGAATGCTATATTTCAGTTATATCATGGCGTTAGACGTTTACCAGTTTGGTCAAACCCAGGAGCTCTGCGAATCATGGATTTCGAACCCTGACCAATACACTTTACTTTTTCGCTGACAAAATGTGTATCTACACTTAATGTGAATGCTTTGTTACAATTCCTGACATTATTCGTCTGAGGTACGAACTTCTGACTGCCACACTTTCAACATTACCGCTAAACCAGAGGTTGAACTGAGACAAGACATCGGTACCAATTCCATGTGTTTGGGAATGCTTTTGTCAGCTTTTCTACTAAACAGTTGTTTGGAGCATACAGACACTCGTTCCTTCATTGGTGTATGCACCAATACACCAACATTTTCGTTCGTATTGGACGATACGGTATATTATCGCTTATTTCCCAAATGACAATTTTCTCAGTTCATTTTGTCTTGTTGAATACCGCTATGGACACGCAGCACACTAAACTCAGTAAGTGTGAGTGAGTTTCGTTTAACGCCGCTTTTAACAGTATTACAGTTATATCGCGGCGTGTCAGCTTAATGTGTGAGGAAAGCCCGAGGTGATGCAGGTCTCAGATGTTTACCACTTCGGTGAAACCCACGAGCTCGGGTATGGTGCTGACAAACTTACAAACATAATCGGGGTGAACCGGGATTAGAACCCACAATCATCGGTTACTGGCGTGCCCAAGGGACGCAACTCTGTACAGCGAATCGCAGCGCGTAAGACGACTGGGCCACCCGTGCCCCCACTAAACTCAGCCATCATGGAGATAAAAGCATCTTCCCGAGGCAAGTTAGTTAACTGACTATAAAAGTTCATAAAACATTTTGTGTAGCCACCAGACTCCGCATTGAGGTTGGGCTGAAGTTTTATATTCTGGTGAACTAAAAAGGGACATTAAGTCAAAAGTCAACAAACAAATCAGTAGAAACTTCATCTGTTTATGCACATTCTAAACACTTACATCCAACACTCTACTTGTATAAATGCCTTGCCAGCCCAAATGATATTAACCTCAAGATCAAATGAACTCGTAATGTCCGTGCCATAAAACCAGTGAACATGAACAAGACATAAAAAATAATAAACAACCACCGTACATAATATGAACATAACATTATGTTCAGTCAGGGAATACCATCAGCTCTACTTGTTTTGTTTCTACACATGTTCATTGTGTTCCTGTGTGCTGATTTAGGGTAAACAAATTTAAATGAGCGAGTGAGTGAGTTGGTTTTACACTGCTTTTAGCAATATCCCAGCAATATCACGGCGGGGGACACCAGAAATGGGCTTCACACTGTGTACCCATGTCGGGAATCAAACCCAGGTCTTCGGTGTGACAAGCGAACACTTTAACCACTAGTCTACCCGACCGCCCATAAACGACCTGAGATTCTGATGTTTGTGCAATAGCAAAAGCAGTCTTCATTGTCACGAAGTAGTGAATGGGCGTGTGTAGCTTGCGGCAGCTGTGAACAGTATGTATTATGGTGTCAGATTAATGTGGGAGGAAAACCTGAAGTGATGGAGGTCTCAGACGTTTACCACTTTGGTGAAACCGACGATGCTGAACACAATAACAATCATAGGTTTTTGGCATGGCCAAAAGACGTAACTCTGCACTGCAAATAGGGAGGCTTTTAAGACTTGTCCACCCTTGCTCTTTAACAGGTGGTGATCAAAGGAGTTAGTTGTGTTGAGAGCCGATTTGAACCATATTGCAGGTATATCTTGGGTGTCAGCTTGATGGTGAAGGAAAGTCCACACTGGTGAGGGTCATAAACGTTTACCTCTCTGGAGAAAACCCAAGCCAGGTATCGGTCTACAAACCATGTACCAGGATCAGAGCCAATGTAACAATAGAAGTCCATTGGTTCCTTGCATGTATCATCTAGTAGCTCAGCTCAAGCATTCATAGGACTATTTTGGTGAAGTTAGTACTGCAACTTTGCCAATGAGCAAAGTTGCATTGACTCAATGCTAGAAGCCAAGGTTGGCCCAAGATTACCTTGGTATCTGGAACACTTGAAAAACATCATGGACTACAAAATCATGCACAGATGACTTTGTCAGGTGAGGCGAAATGGGGTTCAACTGGCGTTCAAGCTTATTGCACTTATATGTGCGTGGTTGTTTGTACTAGTCTGGACTAATGCCGATTTTAGGATGCTATCCCACTCTGATACCATGCCACAATTTAACATGAATGCCCCACTCAGACACTATACTGACTGCGAGCCAACCAGTCCTTGTTTTAACCCCTTAATGCTGATCGCCAGGCAGGTTAACAACAAGTACCATCCTTTAACGTCTTTTGGTATGACTCGGCCAGGTATCCAAACCCTGACCTTCTGCTCTCTGGGCAGATGCTCTTCCACTAGGTCACAGAGGCGGTCAAACATTTCACTAATTTACCCAGGGACACTAAATATGGACAACAGTGTATGTTTTCCTCTAAAGTTCCTGTAGCTCTCTCTGGACAGTAACACAGGCCATCATATTCATGAGATCACAGCAACCAACATGCTAAAAAGGCACATTTTAGGTGTTGAAAAAAATGGATATAAATGATATGTGTCTAAAATACATCAAATGGACAAAATCCATCCAATGTACCTCAAATAGCATTATTCAAAAAGGACCATCAACAAAATACTGTTAGTGGTGACAAATAATGGTACATTAGGTTGAATCTGAGGAAGAGATGTTGGTAAAACAGTCTTAACAAAACAACTCATCATTATTCAAGGTACAAATACATTGTGTACAAAATATAAGAGGTGGCAGAGTGTTCTTATGCATTAACAAAGATGTTCTTCTGATGTGTATACAAAGATGTTCTACAAATGTGTATACAAAGATATTCTGATGTATATACAAGATGTTCATCCAATGCATATAGAAAGATGTTCTTCTAATGCACATACAAAGATGTTCTTCAAATGTGTATACAAATATGTTCTACAAATGTGTATACAAAGCTATTCTGATGTATATACAAGATGTTCATCCAATGCATATAGAAAGATGTTCTTCTAATGCACATACAAAGATGTTCTTCAAATGTGTATACAAATATGTTCTTCTGATGTATATACAAGATGTTCTTCTGATGTATATACAAGATGTTCTTCTGATGTATATACAAGATGTTATTCTGATGTATATACAAGATGTTCTTCTGATGTATATACAAGATGTTCTTTTGATGTATATACAAGATGTTCTTTTGATGTATATACAAGATGTTCATCTAATGCATATTCAAAGATGTTCTTCAAATGTGTATACAAAGATGTTCTTCAAATGTGTATACAAAGATGTCCATTTTGATATATTGACCAAGAAAAACATCAAAAACAGAAATAAAATTGATCAATCTAAAAAATACAATTCATTTAAATGTCAAATGTATTTTAATTATTTCATTACATTTTGTAACAAATATATTTTTATATCAAGTGTAAAAAAGATCTCTTGCCTTCACCAAGTCAAAGAACTAACTATTTTTCCTCTTTATACAATGTACCTCAAATACAGTTTTTCACAAAAATAAGCATTTTGTGTCTTTGTAACAAATATATATTGGAATAAAAAAAATAGGCCTGGAAAAAATCCTTGCGTCATGTGACATGTTAAAACAATAACAACATGGTAATCATCTAACAAAAGGTCCGTCAACATCACTTGACAACAAAAGACTGCCAAGGACAGCTGCCTGATTCTCGAGCTGCCTTCTTGTGGCAGCCAACCTGTACAAACTTGAGATTGTCTCTGGTGAACAAGAGTTTATACACCTGCTCCCAGTTGAGATGAGCATTCTTAGGTTTTTGACGCGCTGCCTCGATCAGCCCGGGTATCACTTCTCTGGATTTCTCAATTCTGAAATAAGGTTAGAGCATCAGCATCAGCATAAGGGGGCAGTCGGGTAGCTTAGTGGTTAAAGCTTTCGCTCGTCAGGCCGAAGACCCGGGTTCGATTCCCGACATGGGTACAATGTGTGAAGCCCATTTCTGGTGTCCCCCACCGTGATATTGCTGGAATATTGCTAAAAGCGGCGTAAAACCATTCTCACTCACTCACTCCAAGATTAACATTTTTAACAAAAAACGAGGAGTGCTCTATCCAACTTATGAACTGTCTGTAAAGAAGAAATACCAAAAAATAATAAAGCATTGGGATACCTTGTTGTGAAACAATTCAGAGTGTCGCAGTATAAGAGTGAGTGAGTGAGTGAGTTGTGCTTAACGCCGCTTTTAACAGTATTCCAGTTATATCACGGTGTGTCAGCTTAATGTGGGAGGAAAGCCCGAAGTGATGCAGGTCTTAGACGTTCACCAATTCGGTGAAGCCCACGAGCACGGGTATGGTGCTGACAACCCTAGAAACAAAATCGGGGTGAACTGGGTTTGAACCCACAATCATAGCTTTCTGGCGTGCCCAAGCGACGCAACTCTGCACAGCCAATTGCGGCGCCTTAGACGACTTGGCCACTCGTGACCCTCGCAGTTTAAGAGGAATTTGATCAAAGCATGGAGGACTGTGTGCAGCAACTGATTTGTTTGTTTGTTTGTTTGTTTGTTTGTTTGTTTGTTTGTCTTTAACGCCACACTCTGCAATATTCCAGCTATATGATGGCGGTCTGTAAATAATCGAGTCTGGACCAGACACACCAGTGATTAACATCATGAGCATCGATCCACGCAATTGGGATCGATGACATTCATCAACCAAGTCAGCGAGTCTGACCACCCGATCCCGCTAGTCGCCTATTACGCCACCCATAGTCGCCTTTTACAAGCATGGGTTGCTGAAGACCTATTCTAACCTGGATCTTCACAGGTCTGTGCAGCAACTGAAGTCATGACATGTAAAATTAAACAACCTTTCACCACCTGCCCCGGTGGATCAGTGGGAAAACAGTGGGTTACAAAACTCAACACAATATGTGATGTTGCAGGTTCAATTCATGTCATGGAATTCATATGTTAACATTATCTTCATATCAAAAGGGCAGTTCATAAAACTTCAATTGTCAAACCTAGATATTACAATTCAAATGTAAAATCTAGGTGGAACAATTCAAATGGAAAATCTAGGTCTTGCAATTCAAATAGACAACCTAGTTCTTACAATTCAAATAGAAAACCTAGCTCTTACAATTCAAATAGAAAACCTAGCTCTTACAATTCAAATAGAAAACCTAGCTCTTACAATTCAAATAGAAAACCTAGCTCTTACAATTCAAATAGAAAACCTAGCTCTTACAATTCAAATAGAAAACCTAGCTCTTACAATTCAAATAGAAAACCTAGCTCTTACAATTCAAATAGAAAACCTAGCTCTTACAATTCAAATAGAAAACCTAGCTCTTACAATTCAAATGGACAACCTAGCTCTTACAATTCAAATAGACAACCTAGCTCTTACAATTCAAATAGACAACCTAGCTCTTACAATTCAAATAGACAACCTAGCTCTTACAATTCAAATGGAAAACCTAGCTCTTACAATTCAAATAGAAAACCTAGCTCTTACAATTCAAATGGAAAACCTCAAAGCAGGTTTCTGAAACTTCAACTGTAAAACCTTGGTCTAACAATTCATAATGTAAAACCTGGGTCTTGTAATTCAAATGGAAAACCAAGGACTTACAATTCAAATGGAAAACCTAGGTCTTGTAATTCAAATGGAAAACCTAGGTCTGACAATTCAAATGGAAAACGTCTGAGCAGGTCTCACTTGAAAGTGGTACCTCTCACCAGGTTATAATGAGACAGGAAGATACTTACAACACTATTGGAAAAAGTGGCAGTAGATTAATAAAACCATGTAATGTTCGGGAAATGGGGGAAGTGGCTGTCTAAAACTTTTTTATTTGTTATTTTCCTCAACTATTCTCAGCACATCCAGCTGACACATATTATTAACATGATTAAAGGCAAAATCCTTTTTTCAATTATTTCTTGATCAAGTTCTTTTTTATAAACCCATGCGGTGTCCCAACCCAAAAATATCAAATGGTCAGTCCCTTAAATAGTCAACCAAATATGTGCTCCAAAAATAAATGATATCAATCTGAAAGGGATTTCTGTACTGAAACTTATTTGGGTGTTTCAATACTTCAGTACATATGTTTCACATGTTGAGTGACAGCATCACATCCCCTTACTAATGGCAGCAAAAATTGTTTACAAAACTGCAATCCTTGCATTTTCCCTGTATAAAACTGCCACTACTTTCGTGTTTGAATATATCACTGAATATCTATTTGATTGCCTAATACACACAGACATTATAGCCTGTTCAAAAATAAATGGTGTGGTCACAATTAGACGAAAACTATTAACATGATTAAGGCATTGTGTTTATTTTCTTTCTAATTATTCTAATATTATTTAAGCCTTTATTAAAGACCCATACCAATAATTATTTATTATGTTATTCAATAAAATTGCAACTCACATATGATCGAGGTTCCACAAGCCAAACAGTTGTCTGTAGCCCCTGGAAGCGTAGGGGTTAATTGTGTGGTGTTTCTCACAGGAGTCCTCATCGAACGCTCCCTGACACTGGAACCAACCCTTGTTGTCACAGATTCTCTCCCTTGGTTTGGCCCTGCGATCAAAGTACATTCCGTGGAAGTCCTGAGACTTGAGTTCTTCGTACAGCTCCTCCAACAATTCCAGGAGTATCGGTTTATTCTTGGCATCAGCCTCTTTTTCAATCTGCTCCTTCGCCTACGTAAGAAATAATCAATAAAATTTGTTTGTTTGTTGTTTAACGCTGCACTCAGCAATATTCCAGTTATATGACGGCGGTCTGTATAAATAATTGAGTCTGGACCAGACAATCCATTGATTAACATCATCATCAATGATCCACGCAATCGGGATACAATGACCTGCATCAACCAAGTCAGCAAGTCAGACCACCCGATTCTGTTAGTCACCTCTTACGACGAGTATAGTAGCCTTTTACGGCAAGAATGGGTTGCTGAAGAGCCATTCTACCCGGATCTTCAGGGGTGTTGTAAAATGTTAACTATTCAGCAGATTTGTTCTGTATTTCTGTACAGTGAGTGAGTGAGTATGGTTTTACGCCGCATTGAGCAATATTCCAGCAATATCACGGCAGGGGACACCAGAAATGGGCTTCACACATTGTACCCATGTCAGGAATCGAACCCGGGTCTTTGGAGTGACAAGCAAATGCTTTAACCACAAGGCTACCCGGCCGCCCCGTATTTCTGTAGAAGCACACACGAACATCAACATGTTGTGCACAATGGTATGAATGAATGTTGTTTTGTGAACACCTGGTTTCATCACCATTTGCATCATATAATTTTCACTGTTATCTTGTCTGTGACGCCCTGTACGAGCAGAACACTTAGTCTAACATTTCAAATTATTAAAAGTATAACATAAGTATAATATCTCAAAATATCAACATAAGTTCTCAAGTGTCCTTCGATTAATGAGTGAATCACTTGCAATGATAATATAACCATATGTTACTACTGAGGTTATAGGGTTCAAACCCACCCAGCTGCCTAAACTTTTTCAGGTTTTATATTTCATCTACATCCTGGCTCCTGATCACATGATCACAAGCTCATGTTGTGGGTAGGGGAGATTGGTTGGTTGGTTTGTTGTTTAACGCCGCACTCAGCAATATTACAGCTATATGACGGCAGTCTGTAAAAAAATTGAGTCTGGACCAGACAATCCAGTGATTAATATCATGAGAATCGATCCACGTAATTGGGATCGATGACATGCATCAACCAAGTCAGGGAGCCACCTGATCCAGTTAGACGCCTTTGACGACAAGCATAGTCGCTTTTTACGCAAGCATGGGTTGCTGAAGACCTACTCTACCCCAGAATCTTCACGGGTCTGGGTAGGAGAGAAGGCCTCCATGTTGTCAAGAGGGTTCACGGGTGGTTTATGGCAGAACACAGATGTGAGTTTTTGTTTCCTTACCTTTATATTGTCTTCATGTACAAATGAAACATTTGATTTAAGTGATTATTATTTTGCAACTTGGAATTAGAATATTTGTATACTTTGAATAGTTCAGGTTTGTATTGAAAACTTAGTAAGTGTTTTGTTTCTCGATGTAGTTTTCTGAACCTCATCATCACCAACGAATGTCTTATAACGGTAACGCTAACGCTGCAACATTTGGAAAACAAAAATATGAATAAACTTTTGGTGAGCGTATCATACCGGTACTGTGTTTCTTGCCGCAACACGCCCAAAGGAATCTGTTTCGGATAATCAAGCACCGATACAAACACCAGGGTAAGATGCCATTCAATCAGCTAGGTCATTAAACGAGGTCATTTTGTCCGTCTCTGAGTTTGATCAGAGTACCCACCCTTGGCTAGAGACAGGATCCAGAACACTTACACTATTGTAGTAGCTCCGTATCCTTGTCTGGGCCGAGTTTCTCATCACCTCGCTCTTGGTCTTGTATTTCTTGTTTAAACCTGGTAAATAATGACAAGTTCAAAATGTTCAAGAAATCCTTTTTGAAATTGAAATTATTTTCAATTCTTTCTTTCAGCATGATAATCATGATTATGTTCTGACCTGTTATCCCGACCTGCTCATGGACTGATATTCGGCCCAAAGTTTGCAACAAATCACAGTAAAAAGTCCAAATTTTGAATTTCAATTTTTCCCAGTTTGGTATCAAGGGCACTTAGTTTGGCATCTGAAACCTAATCCTGGAAAAACATAGTTTGAGTGTTCTATCTTATCTGACATCTTCATTGTGAAAACTTTTCACCGCGGATTTATCCGAAGTACCCTTGGTAGCCTGATTGGACAAAAAAACATTTTTGGTTCAAAAATGGCATTTAATTTAATGTTCATATTTTCTTAATCTCAGGGGTATTTTTACACTGTACTTATTAAAATGAAATATTGAAATAATGGAAAATCCAATTTCCTTGCTATTGGTTTTGTGATGAGTGAAGTATAGTCACCTCGACGAAGGCATCATGTTAGCAATGGTTAGTTCACATCTGTATCAACAGGAACTGGACATTTTTAATTCCCATTTGGGAATTTGTTCTGACATTGCTGTCAACTTTGGGCAGAATATCAGACTTTGAGCAGGTCTAGATAACCTTCACCCCAGCCAAATAATTACCTGAACCAAAGCACTATGATATCACCAGACCTATAGCTTGCAAAGTTACAAACTCCTCACTGACCTTCGAACCAATCTTCATTCTCGTGCCGATGTTCCGACTCCACGTCAGTGTCCAGCATGTCCAGGTACTGTGACATTATGTGCACCTTCTCTGGGGCTTTATCGTCCTCCATCAGGTCTCGGATTTGATTGGCCAACTCATTTCTTCGCGTTGCACTGAGCAGTTTAGTGAGGGCCTCGTGTATCATAGCTCCAGCTGAAGAGAAACAGACCAACAATCTCATGAGTGAGTGAGTGAGTGAGTGAGTGAGTGAGTGAGTGAGTGAGTGAGTGAGTGAGTGAGTGAGTGAGTGAGTGAGTTGGGACAATATTCCAGTTATATCACGGCGTGTCAGCTTAAAGTGGGAAGAAAGCCCGAAGTGATGCAGGTCTCAGATGTTTACCACTTTGGTGAAACCCACGAGTACAGGTATGGTGCTGACAAACCTGGAAACATAATCGAGGTGCTTCACCAAGATTCAAACCCACAATCATAGGGTTTGGGCACACCCAAGGGACACAACTCTGCACACAGAATTGCAGTGACAAAGGCGACTGAGCCCCAAGCGCCCCCTAATTTGGAAACAACAGTATTAAAGTGTCTGAAGTAACATGATAGTGTTATTAATTCCATGCATGGAAGCTTGATTTGAAACATGAGATACATTCCACAAAGCAATCTGCTTTGTTTGCCTTTATGTTGTTTAACACCACACTCAGCAATATTCCAGCTTTATGACGAAGGTCTGTGAATAATCAAGTCTGGACCAGACAGTCCAGTGATTGACATCATGAGCATTGATCTACTCAATTGGGATACGATGACATGCATCAACCAAGTCAGTGAGCCTGACAATCTGATCGTGTTAGTCGCCTCTTATGACAAACATAGTCACTCTTAGTCTTATGACAAGTATGGGTAGCTGAAGACCAATTCTAATCCAGATCTTCACAAGTTCTAAGTGCTATGACTGTCATGTCTATGTTAAAGTATGGAGTTACGATCGTCTTAGCGCTATGACTGTCATGTCTATGTTAAAGTATGGAGTTACGATCGTCTTAGCACTATGACTGTCATGTCTATGTTAAAGTATGGAGTTACGATCGTCTTAGCGCTATGACTGTCATGTCTATGTTAAAGTATGGAGTTATGATCATCTTAGCGCTGTGGCTGTCATGTCTATGTTAAAGTATGGAGTTACGATCGTCTTAGCGCTGTGGCTGTCATGTCAATGTTAAAGTATGGAGTTACGATCGTCTTAGCGCTGTGACTGTCATGTCTATGTTAAAGTATGGAGTTACGATCGTCTTAGCACTATGACTGTCATGTCTATGTTAAAGTATGGAGTTACGATCGTCTTAGCGCTATGACTGTCATGTCAATGTTAAAGTATGGAGTTACGATCGTCTTAGCGCTGTGGCTGTCATGTCTATGTTAAAGTATGGAGTTACGATCGTCTTAGCACTGTGACTGTCATGTCTATGTTAAAGTATGGAGTTACGATCGTCTTAGCGCTATGACTGTCATGTCTATGTTAAAGTATAGAGTTACGATCGTCTTAGCGCTGTGACTGTCATGTCTATGTTAAAGTATGGAGTTACGATCGTCTTAGCGCTATGACTGTCATGTCTATGTTAAAGTATGGAGTTACGTTCATCTGAGCGCTGTGACTGTCATGTCTATGTTAAAGTATGGAGTTACGATCGTCTTAGCGCTATGACTGTCATGTCTATGTTAAAGTATAGAGTTACGATCGTCTTAGCGCTATGACTGTCATGTCTATGTTAAAGTATAGAGTTACAATCGTCTAAGCGCTGTGACTGTCATGTCTATGTTAAAGTATGGAGTTACGATCGTCTTAGCACTGTGACTGTCATGTCTATGTTAAAGTATGGAGTTACGATCGTCTTAGCGCTATGACTGTCATGTCTATGTTAAAGTATAGAGTTACGATCGTCTTAGCGCTGTGACTGTCATGTCTATGTTAAAGTATGGAGTTACGATCGTCTTAGCGCTATGACTGTCATGTCTATGTTAAAGTATGGAGTTACGTTCATCTGAGCGCTGTGACTGTCATGTCTATGTTAAAGTATGGAGTTACGATCGTCTTAGCGCTATGACTGTCATGTCTATGTTAAAGTATAGAGTTACGATCGTCTTAGCGCTATGACTGTCATGTCTATGTTAAAGTATAGAGTTACAATCGTCTAAGCGCTGTGACTGTCATGTCTATGTTAAAGTATAGAGTTACGATCGTCTTAGCGCTATGACTGTCATGTCTATGTTAAAGTATAGAGTTACAATCGTCTTAGCGCTATGACTGTCATGTCTATGTTAAAGTATGGAGTTACGATCGTCTTAGCGCTATGACTGTCATGTCTATGTTAAAGTATGGAGTTACGATCGTCTTAACACTAAGACAGTTCAATGGAACAAGGCCCAGAGGTAAAAGTGGTCGTTTCAAACGTTGTCACTAAATGTTACATCAAATACACAAAAAATATGAAAATACAAAAGTTATCAGTACATTTCCACAGCACTCTCTTTCCCATCTTCCTGAGTCAAGGGAGTTAACTGACCATAAAAGTCCAATTTCCACCCTTGACGAACAAGGCTCGAATATCTGGGCCCGATCGTAGCCCCACCAGTGGCTATTACAAGTTTTGTCCCTTCCATGTCCCTCCTATTGACCAATCAGATTCCACCTCTCATATCACTTGCATTTGCTTCAAACATAATGGCAGCACCCAGACAAGACGATCTGATCGATGATCAAGATATACAATGTAATAAAATAGGTCTTACTTTGCAAAGTGCATAAAATCATGTGAGCATCTTGATTACAAAAATGAAAAGATTTGGAAAATATCTGTCAGCGCCAAGTTGACATGCTTTACAAATCTTGCAGTCGACCAAAATCTATGCGTTGAAATCTGTGTAGTTTATGAACCGGATGTCTAGTTTATTGCGCGATTTTGATTGGACTATGCACAGTCCAGTCAAAATATTAATCCTTAATTGCAGGCTAGTTGGGCAAGGGTGGAAACTGGATTTTTAGTCTGTTAACTCCCTTGCTTCGGGAAGATGGGTAAAAACACTGAATACCGTATTTTCTTGAGTATAGTGCGCACTTTTTTTCGAAAAAACACAGCTGTGTAGAAGGGGGTGCGCATTATACACGAATTATGATTTTGGATGTTTTTTTCCCCCATGGAAAGACATTACCGTGAACACGAAACACCGGGAATACCATGTCAACAAATCCATACTGAAGTACGCAAAATAATTATGTAATTACACTGTCTGGCTATAAAAAGTGTTCTTTGTATATCTGGACTTATGTTTGTAACTTATTTCATTGATTTTATTCAAAATTCCTTATAATATTGTTTTTATTAATTTCGGCGAAATCGTCTGTGAAGCGATCGGAAGATCGCACAACTCACCGTTATTAACAGCAACCACGGTCAGAATACCGCTATTGACGCCTTGAAACAAACTTTAGTTGACAGAGAATGGATACATATATCATAAATGACATACTTTGACTTGTTAAAAGTCATATTTGTTTTTGTTGGACGATTCTATGTCAACACGAAATTCTCGTGATCACGTGCGCGTGAGCCTTGACGGTGACTGGTCAGACATGTTCCATGTAAAAAATAATACCCGGGAATAGCGATCAGCTGCTTCGCTTAGGGTTATTATTATTTTAAATATGTTTAGTAAAGGTTGCATATAATTAAGAAAATAATGGAATATATTATTCCTGATAAATAAAATTGTTTCAGATACAATAGTTGCCGATCCTTGCATTAAAAATCTTATAAAGTTATATCATTGGGTGTGTCTTGACCGAATCACCGGTCGATTCCAAGAAAACGTGTACAGCTGATTGCTGTTTCCAGCTTAGTTTACGAGAAAATACGCAAGGTAATCTTAATCCCTAAATATAAAACAATGCCTAGCAGAACTATAAATACTATTTAAACGGTAAATAAACATGTCTGGTGATTTTTTTATCTCAAATTTCGAATTTGTACTGACGAAGTTTCTCAGCACCCGTTTGTTTGCCGGACTTTGCTGAAAGGGTACGGTTGAAAAAATTTCTGCGCATAATATTCAAATTTCTTTTTTTCCAAAATATTGAACCCGCTAGAGGGGGGTGCGCATTATACATGGGTGCGCACTATACTCAAGAAAATACGGTAGGTCTTGAATTGTGACAAAGCATATCTACAGCCTCAATACACATTTCATCTTAAAAGATACTTTTGGGGATGTTGAGTTTTGTACCTCCATTCCAAACCTGTCCCTCTTTAAGAAATACAAAGACTGTCTGTGCAGGCAACTTCTTGAAGAAACTCTCGCTGTCCACGACCGTGCCGTCATCCTCTATCACAACCGTCACATCATCTGGATTTAGCTGAAATCAATTTATCACGTCAAAAGCAACATCTAGGGTATGATATTTCCACTCCATTACGATAAACACCACAGAACCTTTCATCATCACAGTTTCCATCTCTCCCATCAACAACATGGAACATCTAGTGAGTCCTTGACATAAATACGTCTTGTGTACATTGATCAATCAGAAGGGGTGCTAACTGGGATTGTTCACTAGCCAATATATGAGCAATTATCGCCATGGACGCTTATTAGAACAGGGCGTTTATTGCGTCAATTACGGTAAGCCAAATGAAATTACTAAGTGAAATAGAACAGTATGGACCTGGAAACAAAATGTCCTCACTTATTTGGTTCTCTTACATAAAAAAAACATGTATCTGCAAATGAGTGAGTGAGTGAGTTGGGTTTAACGCAGCTTTTAACATTATTCCAGTTATATCACGGCGTGTCAGCTTAATGTGGGAGGAAAGCCTGAAGTGATGCAGGTCTAAGACGTTTACCACTTTGGTGAAACCCACGAGCACGGGTATGGTGCTGACAAACCTAGAAACATAATTAGGGCGAACCGGGATTCGAACCCACAATCATAGGTTTCTGGCGTGCCCAAGGGACGCAACTCTGCAAATGAGAAGATGGAGAATTACTGTTGCTTTAAAAACATATCACTCAATTTGTATCTGTTAGTTTCATGTGAAATAAATGCATATTGCTTTTTTTAAGTTAATATCATACAGCACTTAAAATTTTAGAATATCATTAGATCTATTTAGAATCTACTAAAAACTTGTAAAAGTGACACTGATCTTATAAGCATTGATTCTCAGCTTGAATGTTAAATGTTGTATCAGAAACATAAGATAACTTCTTATGGAGGCCGTTCACAAGACATCTAAGGTAAAAAAAGGAAGATTTCAACCTCGAGTTTTTCGCAGCCCTTTTTCTTCAAGTCTTCAAAGTTTTTGGCTGCCACACCTATTCTGACCTCTCTCCCGACATCTTGAACTTTGTATGCCCTCATCCCGCCGTTAAATAGAGCCAGGAAACGGCTAAACATGCTTTGACATCAGGCCCTATTTTCAGCTTCTCCGAACACGTTTGTTTGTGTATTTCCGCATTCAGAATTGACATTACCGCCAGTTCGCCATTCGGCATGTCTCGTGTAAATCCGCCATTTCGTTTGCTACGTTTTGGCGATTGTATTCTTTCCAGCTACACTGTTCCAGACCCGAAAAGAGTTTCGCAGCACCCCTTAATAATAAGTCTCTATCTATCATTTCGCTATTTATGAATGTTAAATGTTACTATCGATACCCAAATAAGATTTCAATAACCAAGGAATCTGTATGATACTTAAGTTATACAATATAGGGCGCACTGCTATAGCTTCTGGTGGGGGAAATATACAGGTTGTCATATATTTACATTTTTCATTTTGTGTAGAGAATCCATATCTTATGATAACCATTTCAGCTAAAAGCATTTTGTTCAGATTAGGTTTTTGACTGGTCTAGATACAAGACGAAATCGGCGATATAACATTATGTCTTAATGAATTTCAGGAAAGACAATCAGATAATCTCCATCAAAACATAGCATTTTTCAGTGGAAATATTTTCGAAATGTAATTACTATGTTCAGAACACAACGTTATTTAACAAGTGGCAGCGAGCCTGACCACCCGATCCCGTTAGTCGCCTGTTACGACAAGCAGTCGCCTTTTACGGCAAGCATGGGTTATTATTACATCTGTCTCCGTCTGTCTTTAATCATCTCCGTTACATGTGGAACTTGGAAGACAGGGTTCCATAATGAACCGACAGAATATGTACTATTATGTTAAGGGATATGATCTAAATTCAATTCTATTAGGTTATCCTGAAAGGACGTCAAAAATAAACTTAGAAATTCTTAAATCAGTACAAGACTACATTCAACTATCCAATAGGTTTTGTGTTTTTACATAGCATCTTAAATTTATAATACTATTCCTTGCCGTATATTGCAGTACACTATTACTACTAAAAATGAGACCTGACAGCGCCGACAACGTAGTTTCTATAATAAGAACATGTATACAATTGTATTCCTTGACTGTACTTTTGTCATATTATATTGTATTCTAATTCTGGAGCGGTATTCAAATAAGCTTTTGCTTGTTTACCAATCCAGTTCGCAAGTTGTGAAATAAATATGTTTAAAACACATAATGAACCATTCTGTACAAAAATTTGAAATATATTGGCGATGAATACCATGTGATGTTTATATATACGTGATCGAAATGAAAAGAAAATACGTCTCTTCGTGTCGATAACAATACGTCTACACTATTCTTACCAAGCATCGCCTTAATTGAAACGTTCACCCAAATCTATTTTCACGAATCACCGTGAAATGTATATAATGTATAATTTTGTCTCTCCTTTTGTACACATATATGAAACAGGTAATTAGATCAAAATTACAATAACATACTGAAACCGGAGGTTTTGAGAGACATTTTGAAATATAATCATTGCACAAACACTCACATAAATATCCACAAAATACATACATGGCCACACAAGCAATACCGTTAAGATATGGGTTATAATAGGTCTTCAGCAACCCATGCTTGCCATAAAAGGCTACTATGATTGTCGCGAGAGGGATCGGGTGGTCAGGCTCGCTGACTTGGTTATTACCAGTAACACAAATAAACACGACCCAACACTGGAGATCTGATCAAGTCTTTGAAAGGCATTTAGAAGTGATACAGATAAGGAGGAGAATTTATGGATGTCAACTTCTTTATTATGATGAACATAACGTTTCGGAGCTCATGCTTTCTCCTTCATCAGGTGAATGGATGCCAAGAGGCAGAGAGCATGTATATGTACATGTAAGAACAATAGGAATACGATTACAAAAGGTGGAAACGTAACAAGGGAAGCCAACAGATGATTGGCGCTGATAGGTGATTAGCAAAAGACAATGGAAGCCGACACTTTACAGTAATTAGCGCTGATAGTTAGATCAACCAGGACTAAATTACCACTGATTGGCAATGGACAATGGGCAAACGGGAGGCCGGGGGTAATTAGCACTGATAGGTTATAGAATAGAAATAGCAATGGGCAGATGGACGCCAGCTAGATGTGTTCTGAAATAGCGGATTTCCAGTACATTGGAGAAACCCACAGACCCCTCAACACCAGACTCAAAGAACACCAGACCTCTGTCAACAAACTAGACCTGAAATCCGCTATCTCAGAACACACCCTCAAGAACCAAGACCATTACATCCTGTGGGAAACCACCAAAGTCCTGTCTACCAACAACAATAACTGGCGACAAAGAAAACTACAAGAAGCCATTGACATCAGGAGACAGCAGCCAGCCATGAACCGTGACCAGGGAACCTATCTGCCTGGTGCTTGTGACTTATTGCTTTGATTTTTGTCGGTGCCAATTATCTAGCTGTTCCTCATAATAAAGAAGTGGCATCTATTACTTACTGGAGATCCGGTTAATTATTTTAAGCATATAACATCTTATATATACATACGGATACTAGACGATCCGGACCAACGGAGATTCGTATCCAACTAAAATGGCTGACCCGTACCAAAAATGCTCGTCAGATTCGTACCTGTTTTGAGCATTCGTATTTTATTTTCCCGACCTGTACCCAAATTAGGAGGACACGTACCCATTAATTTTTATTCCAAGATGTCTGCAAACGGATGGCTTTAATCCGTATATACCGCAAAAACGACAAAAATATAGGTTTCTAATTATTGATTGATTAATTCATTCATTATACATTTCCAACATTCATTCATTTTATATTTCAAACATTTATTCCTTATTTGCATTCATTTTTTGGTGAATGAACAATCAACCAATTATAACTCAATGTCTGTGATTTAGGATTAAATAAATACATCTATTTTCCTGTCCTGTCAATAAGGATGTGAGAAATTATTCATTCTTCTACTCTGGGGGAGTTAATCTTGACACTATATTGAATGGTAATGCTAATTTTACCAAAAAAATACTAATTCAGATATCTTAAAATCAGTACATTCATACATTCTTCATTTCAAAAGGTTTAAACTGACGTGAAACTATAAATCCCGCATATATATTAATCTTCTACTCAATACACCAAACTGTTGCCCATGGCCACTTTCTTTTGTTAACGCATTTAGTATATCCTTATGTATCGTTTTGTATAATGTTTTCACGAATATAACTTGAACTGGAGAGGTATTAACATTAGCCTTCTTGGCTCAGATTCATTGATTACAAATATGTTTAAATTACAAAAAATGAGTTAACTCAATTGGCCATGGTGGTATATTGTTTAATATTTAAACTCTCAAGTTCTTGGAAGTCGGTCGGTGTAACATGACGTTAAGAGACATCCAGTTGTTTAATGTTCGAGTGGGTATGGGTATCCAACATTTGGGTACGAGTCGGCCGTGGGTACGGAATGGCTATCATAGAAGCTTTCATTCTTCTACAATCAAAAGAGACAGTTTTTGTAACACATTAGGAATCCCTGGTATATTCTGGTACTGGTAAATGCACAATTATATTAAAAAAACGCCATAAGCAACGAGGCCTGACTGGCTTTAGGAACCAACACCATGAACAGAGAACATTCACACAAACACATTTGATAATCTCAATGCACAGCTTGTTTTGTTCCGAATGACTAATTTTTATTTTCTCGGAAATCATAGTTTACGTGAAATATATTTTGTTACATGCTCTTATAACTATTTTTCGTTTTAATGTATCCGAGATAAACTTTAAAGAATAATAATCTTTGGTAAACTTTGATATCAAAGTCTCGCGTCAACGAGAACTCCACCGTGCTCCAATGTACACAACCTGCGCGGTTTATTCGTCGTCAAGAAGATAAAAATGTGACTTGTTCCCTTGATTTTACCAAAATAGCTGAATGATCCGCGTATTTATGTAAGTATCGATACATTTTATATAACATGACATCATAATGTGACACCACATGCCAATAAATATTTGAATGTTACCGGTTCACAAACGTATCTGTCAAACATAAACAAAAACACACAAGTCACATTCCAATGTCGAAAAGAATATGACTTTACATATCCGATGTCTTTATTTGGAACGTATAGTCAAGCAACAAGTTTCAGCTACGTTAGCACTAACTGAATGTCATGTTGTCCCGTGGTTGACTATTTTCTATTGCCAGCTGGGCTGATAAATAAACCTCATTAAAACGAACACTTGTTACGACCTGTCTAGTGATCCTTGAATGGTCAGTGTTGTACGTAGCACTGAATTGGACATATTGATATGTGTTTATTTATTTTCGTGTGAATATGTACTTGTTGGTAGGATTTAAAAATGGTATTGTAACAGTTGTCATCACGTGTACATCCCATTAGTAATAACCCATTTTGTTCTCCCATTCAATATCGGCCTACTGGCAAACAACCACTCAGTTCAGTACGCTACATTAACGATGTAGTTATTATAATGGATCATAATGGTGGACATTTACTTACTTATTAAATATAGCATGCGCAAACAATTTCTTGTTATTTGTTCAACTTTTATGACACATCAATTTGGATTGCTGGATGCTGGTTGAATTTAGCAAGATCGGTCAACAAAGTATCTGCGATTAGCAACTCTGTGGGGAGGTAGCAACTCTATGTTATCGCAGTTCACTATTTGTGGTGTGAAACCTGTGGAATGAGCTTCACATCACTTCCTGTTATGCAACGTACATACAACGTAGGTGGGGTCAACGGACATCGCCCATACAAATGGCTCTTTTCTTACCAATCTCGAATGGATGTAAGGCTATTGCCACTTCAAAGACATTCCAGAAACTGTTATCCAAAATTAATGTATTTATTAGCAAGTAATTACTCAATAGCTATGACGTTCTGCAACAAGCTCTGTAACAAGTTCTTTATTTGACCAAATGATGAAATATTGAGCTTAGATTGTCCGCGTGTCTTCTCTAAAGATATATTTGTGCAAGATGCTTATCTGGTGTTTTTTTAACATTTCTTATGCTCATCGCTTTCAGATAAATATATCTCACTTCATATGAAAGCAAGCAAAAGTAAAGCGAGTCGAGATCACATGCACTATATCAGGAGTTGGTGATAATTGGTCGCTAGCCAGTATATGTTGCCTAATAATATGGTGTGTATGAAAAGTGTAATTAAAATAGTAAAAAGAATGTATGTATTCAATAATCGCATAGTCTGGTCAGTTGCCATACAATATCACGTATGTATAATGAAATTGCATCTTCTCCAGGGTTAGACACTAACAGTTTTTATCCACTAGTCCTTATAATGATAACATATAGCAAAACCCTTAAAATGGGCCAATTTCTACTAGTCCTTAGGATACCTTTACTATTGGGCAGTTTGATAAGGACTACAGGACTAGTGCCAATTTCTAACACTATTTTCCAATTTCTTGTGGTCAACCAGTCTTAGAAATTAAGCACAAAAATCAAGGGGTCCTCAGTGTTAAAAAGTTTAACATTTACAGTGTCCCTAGATTCAAACACTGTTGCAGATACCGTATTCGACGTAATAAGCGCCCAGGGCGCTCTCAAAATTAGAAATAGGGGGCTCTTATTACAATATTATTTTGGTGAAGAAAAAAAACAGTGTTGAAAGATAAATTTTGTGCTTTGTGCTGACAGCCTGAAATGTTTATATACGAGAGATACATTTTTCCAGAATTTAATTGCCCATAATTAAGGGTGCACAGCGTTAGAAATTGGCACTAGTCCTATAGTCCTTGCCAATCCGTCCAATAGTTATCATAAGGATAATATCTTAAGGACGAGTAGTAATTTGCCACTTTTAGGAGTTTTTCTATATGTTATCATTGTAAGGACTACTGGGCTATAACTGTTAGTTTCTACCCCTAGTGCATATAACAAACGAGTGTGTATTATACGCGGATAAATAAGTGTTGTGTACATTGATCAATCGGAAGGGGTGCTAATTGGGATTGTTCACTAGCCAATGTATTGGCAAATATTGCCGTGGGCGCTTATTAGAGCAGGGCGCTTATTACGTCGAATACGGTAATCTCAAGAAATCCAGGACCCATTAACATGAAAATACTCAACTTATATAGGAGTGTAGAATGATTTGCTTTCTGAACTGGTGTGAGTTACATCAATACATTATCAAATAATTGGTACATCGATATGATGATGTATGATGACATCCCGCCCCCTGAATGTCTGTGGCAGTGACATCACGTAGAGGGACATGGCCCAGTTGGAAATACTACTGCCAGTATCGTTAATAGGTCCTAGTATTGAGTGCAAGCTGGTTCAGTCGAGTGCAACAAGGTTTCGATGTGCAAGCGAAAGATGGCCAAAGCAAGCGTTTGATGTTTTGATGTTAATTTAGTGGCATTGTTAGAATAAGTTGGACTTGAATTGGACATGTGTGAGTTTGACATGTTAGTGTTTGACTTGTTTGGTTAAGAGGTTGTCTAAAATAGAACTGCTAGACAAACTAGAGTTACATAAACATGAATGTTTATATGAGATTGTACACTGCATAGCCTTGAAAAATCCTTGAAATTTGAGGTCTGTCTTGAAAAGTCCTTGGAAGTTGAACTTAGATTCTGCTATGAAATGGCCTTTGAAAATAGATAATGTGCCATGAAAAGACTGCTAATTCTCCTCATAAATAAATACCCCAAAATATATATATCTTTCTGTTTAAAAGAAACATGTTGAAATCTGTGTTCAAATTCGAAGAAAACTATTTGCATCAGTAAGTCTCCTTTTTATCGTCAGTAACCATGGTAACATACAGTAGTCTCCCTTCCAATGATGACTGCTTCTGCCAGAGTCAAATATGCCTGAATCTGAAGCAATTTGAACAGAAGGACTCATGACATGTGAACTTGAGGGAAAAGAACGGAAAAGGCCTTGAATTATGTGGGTGAACCCTGTATGATGCCTGACTGATGTGTTTGTCTTGTAGATAGATGAAGGAGAGCCAGGATGCCGACCAAACTCCAGTTTAGAGTGGTGCATGTATCGGGCCAGGATGACAGCTACCGGGCAGCAGAACTCAACAACCACAGTCCTCTCACCAAGGGCTGGCAGTCTTCCAGGTGCGACAGACACAACCTAGGCTAATGCTTAGACTCTGAAAATATAGCACGTCGATAGAAACAAGCAACTACATTGAAATGGAAAAGAAGCTCCAATAAGGAGGGGGATTCAGCCTGAGCCTGGAAAATCTAGACTTGCTTTATTTTAAAATGTTCCAGAACTATTTATCTCTTGCAAAATATCTGAGTAACATTTCTTTTGGTCTGGTAAGCTAAATTTATTTCTGTTTCTATGCATGGGGTAAAATTGCTGTAAAAGGCGATTTTTAGGTTACTTGTTCTGGAAACAGGACTAATAAAGAGGAAGAAGGTTCCAATGCTTAGTTTGAAATTATTGCATTGAATGTAATGTTAATGTTAAATGTTAAAGAACATCTAAAAATTTAAGAAAATAAGAACTAATAAAAATCCCAATTTTGAGAAAATAACAATTGTTCCTTAGTTTGCTTGCCAAGGGCACTTTGTTTGGCAGCCGGCAAAATAATCATGTTTTCCAGCATCAGACATGATGTTTTTGTGCTCTAGAGACACATCGAATGAGATTCGAACCTGAACAACGACATTGCTGTGTTTGATTACCGCATGCTAAAATACACAGAACAACTTTTGATTTTTGTGACCATTTTGCCAAATACTACATGAATAGGAATATTATTGCTGAGACGATACACCAACTGTACGATAGATACGTATCACGATACCTTGTTCATGATCCGAAACATATCATGATACTTGCACCTGCTCTTATCAGTGATAAGTAAGCCATCTTTTTCATAGACTGGATGGCCAAATACCTGGCACACTGACAATTTACTATTGGCATTGTCAAGTATGGTGCATTGGATCAAAATATTTACGTTTTCGCTTCTCATTTTCACTAGTAATTAGTGTTTGGTGTGACATTTATTAAAGAATACATTTAAGGTTAGAATCAATATTTTTTTGCTTAGTGTGCAATAGTGATCGATACTTGTATTTTGAGAAGTGAAAAAATCGTGATCCACGTGATCAGTGTATTGTCCCTCTACTAACGAATATGTGTTTTCAAAGTGTTTCAGTATATGTAATTCCCAGTAGTAAGTCTGGGCGAGTAGACATTTTGGGCCTGCTTTGAAGACAACCATGTGCAGTAACAGATTCAGCATTGAGATATGTTGTTGTCCCTTCCAGGTTCTGCTTGTACCCTCAAGACATCGTCATCCAGCTGGGGAAGAGATCCCGACTTTGCAAAATACAGATACTGTCGCACCAGTTTCTTATAGGTAACCATGGCAACAGTGTTATTTTAGGCCACAATAACAAAAATGAATGAAATAATATGCAGTTGTTTTAGGTAAGCAGCCTGACTCTGCAAAATAACTTCTTTTCAATTGTAAATTAGTTGTTGGGACAGTAATTTTAGTCCGAAGTCCAAAGTGTAAATATTAATGTGTTGTTTACTGCCTGTCACTTACAACATAAAAAGAAAGACGGTCTTCTGTCTATTATTGGTTAATGCGTTATTTCCTTTGTGCATTGTTACGGAATATAGTTTAATTAATGTTGTCATGAGCGGCAACCAGCCCATGGAAACGCGTTCTCAATGAAATCAAAATGAGGTTATGAATTTGGTATTGACTCAAGTCAGAAGCAGGACAGTTTGCTTCAAATTGTTTTTAGATCATGGGGAAGTGTGTTTTTTAATCACGCTTGGGTTTCAAAATATCAATGGGTGCACGAAACAAAAGACAGAAACATGGTATGGTGTTACTGCTGCAGGAAGGAAAATGATGTGGGTACGATGGGGAAAGTGCGCTTTAATCGAACAGATGAAGCAGTCACCAGAAAAAGTTTGTTGGGATTATTTTTGCGGGATTTGGGTGTTGTTAATCAAGAAAAGGGTCCTTGAAAACAAATGATTCTTGTTGAAAAATGCTTAATAAGTGGCAAAGATCTTTAAGAACCCTGGTTGCATTGCCTGATATTTCATCTCACAACATTGTCGGGGTTTGAATACGATGTTGCTGTGTATTTTCCTTTCAGCAACCAAGATAGAGTTCTATGTGGGAGACGTCCCGGATGGAGTGCCGCTGTCACTGGACACAGCTCGATACACCAGGCTCGGGTGAGCAGATCACAAATTATACATTTACATTGTGGCATGGAAGAGGGGTTGCATTGAGAAGAGGTTGCATTGGGAAAGGGGGGCGTTCGGGAGGTGGCATTGAAGAGAGGTTGCATTGAGGAGAGGTGGCGTTGGGGAGGTCGCATTGAAGAGGGGTTGCATTGAGAGGTGGCTTTGGTGCTGTACTTGGTGACCCCTGCTCTCATTAATCTCTAAGTAAAGTAAGAACTCCCTTACTTCTCTGATTATTGTTTAAGTAATAACACAACTCATTTCTAATACAGTTACATATTCTATCATAGACTGCAGATGGCAAAACAACACCAGTAACAACTTTTTTAGTGCTGCAATATGCCATTTACAAAAAGGTCCCCTGAATATACATGTAGTTCACAGGAGCTAATGCATTGCACACAACCAGACATGTAATATTGGCGGGGGATATGAGTATTTCATGCTTGTTGTGTGTAGGTATGTGTCATTGTCTGACAATGAGAAGACTGGCTACAAGGCTCGGGAACTCAAGTCTGTCCATGTCGATGCTGTTGGGGTCTACCTCAAACTCAACATCCACAAGAACCACGTGAACAAGTTCAACCTGTATAACCAGGTGAGATGGAGTCATAGCCTTTTGCGGAGAACACTTTCTGAGTAAATTGGCACAGCTCCCTTGGACAAATGCTATGAATACACTATGCCATTTAAATAGCTATCAGCCATGGGAGTCAGAGGGGTACACAAAGTATGTGATCTAGAATACTACTTTCATTTTTTGTGGCTGAGATCACAGAGTTTATGTGCTGGCGATTAGGTGCCACACTCTGGCAGTGTGGGTTCGAATGCCGGATGGGACTCAACTAAAAGAAGTACCGGAACTAGAATTTGTACTTTACTATGAAAGACTTATCCCAAATGTAACATTAGTTGCTTCTCTCATGTTAGAACACATGTTTTACAATGATACGCTCTGAATGTAGACTTCGATACATTATCAAACTGTCAACATTTCTGATTGGTCAATGTTGATAACAGTACCCAATCAAGACAGCTCTTTATTTCAATGTTAGTTTATTGATGTGTAAACACCTGGCACTTCATTTACGTGCGATTTCTGTGATAAGACCAAATCCAGTGTAGTGGAAGAAATAGGCTTGTCCTCTTGACTTTTTATGGAAACATTGCTTTGTCCCATTAATATATGTTTTAGTCTGTTTTCAGTCGTACAAATGGGTATCTCTCATACCCTCACGTCTAGTCGCACGTTTAGAGGAAGCCAGAAGCTGGAATGTAAACATTAAACTTGTTTCCGTCCGGTTGCGCACGCACCTCCCTATGACATGCCACAAATCTCTCAGCGCGCCTCTGCGCTGGTCGCTCGAGAAAGTCTTTCGCGGTAGACTGCTAGTTTGTATTCTACTAGTACTTATCGCTTATCTACAGTTGTTCTAATAAAGTCATAATATGTCTTACCTGTAGACTCCTGGAATGTAATCCTTGGTAATCCATTGTTTGTGTTCAACGCGTGTTTCGCTGTTTTACAGTGATTCTACACGTGGCAATATGTCGGGCATTTGTGCCTCGTGTCAACGAAAACTGTCTAAAGTAGACCCTCACAAGTATTGTCCTTCCTGCATCATTAAGGACGGGTTTTCAACGTATTCGTGGAATAAACGTTGTAAAAAATGTGAGAACTTGTCTTCAATAAACTTTAACTTGTATCTTCGTGCGTTGGCGAAGCAGGCCGCTGACCAGCGCTACAAGCGGATATGGTCATCGGTTGGATCCTTGGACTCTGCACCCTCCGCATCAGGCCCTGGGGGTGGCGAGTCGACCACACCTCAGAAATCAGTTGAAAAAGACCCGCCTCAGTCAACTTCAGCTTTCGACACGTGACCGTTCGCCTGCTGATGATACTACCCGCACGACTGGTCTTCGTCATTCGGTTGATCGAGAGCGTCACTCAGCCTCCCCCGTTACGACGGGACCGGGTGGTGACGAGGACCATGAGGGGACTACGGTCCCCAGTCGGTCCGCATCTCGTTCTACCAACGACGATAGGGACGTCGTGCGGGACGACAGTGGACACAGAAGTCGTTCCCGTTCAAGTCGGGACGACAGGATGAGTGCCTCGTCGTGAGACAGTACACGACACGAGGGCGTTCATCGTCATCGTGGTCGTCGAATGTACGATTCGGATACACCGCAGTCTCTTCAGTTTTCTCCTCCCGATGTCTTCAGAGCCATGGCTCACGATATGGACCAGAACTTTGGCTCTGCTCTGCCTGGGCAGAGCTTCTGCAAGCCGCCTGGTCGATCTCGTTTCCCGATCTATGGCATGCCGTTTTCGTCACCCATGACTAGGGATTTGGACTTGGGGCTGCTCTTCAAGAGACCAGCACCCTCCACATTTGGAATCCATGGGCACTGCTGTTCGTCACCAGCTGCAAACGCTTGCTATGCTGTCGACAGCGATCAAGGCCCTCTCAGTGTACTTTGAGGTGAAAGAACCCCAGGACGAGGACGACAGGACGGTGCCATCGGTCCTCACCTGTTTGCAACGGTGGATCTAGGACGTCCTCGCCCAGTCCCGATATGTATCGGGCCAGATTACTACGGCGCGTCGCCATGGTTACATCGACTGCACTGACCTACCTGATCGTCATGGCAGGTCACTCTTACGGGCCCCGTGGACATCGCAACAGTTGTTCGACGGTCGTACCAACGACGTTCTGGACAAGTACTCCAGGGAAGCCGAGCGTGACATCATCATTTCGGCTTCACCCAACCTGTCCAGACGGCCACCGGTTTCGAACGCCCCACGACGACGTTACCGAAACGAGAATGTGCAACAGGCTTTCCGTAGGGACGTGCCTCGACAGCCGTCCCGCAAGGGAGGTTCCGACAGGAAAGGTCGCCAGGTCTCCTTTTCCAAGTTTCCCAGAGGGGGAAAGTACCAGCGGGGGAGGAAGTGAGGTCCCTTCCCCCGCCGTCGCCGTGGTTGGAGTCTCCCCCGGTGACACTACCTTTAGACGAGCTACCGGTAGGGGGGCGACTTCGTCACTATGCCTACAAGTGGGTTTTCCTCAACGCAACATACCTCCAACCACCCGACACATTCAACTTGACATCCCTCAGCTCTCTGCGTCGGATGATATTACCGAACGACTTCCTCGTCTCGTTAGACCTTCAGGACGCGTATCTACATGTACCAATAGCTTCCGAGTTCCAGAAGTACCTCCGATTCGAATGCCAAGGTATTCATTACCAGTGGGCGGCCCTCCCGATTGGAATTTCTACGGCCCCGTGCTTTTTCACACGGATCATGAAGACGGTCGTAGAATGGCTCCATCGGCAGGCGATCAGGGTCGCGTTCTACCTAGACGTCGGGCTCCAAGCTCACCAGTTTACAGTAGCCCTTCAAGGTGAGTTGGCGACCACCCTGAGTCTACTACGGTACCTCGGGTGGATCGTCAACTTTCAAAAGTCGGACTTGGTACCACCTCGGGTTCTACAGTACATTAGGATACGCTTCCAGACGGGAGTCAATCTGGTCCAGGTACCTCAAGACCGTTGGGACAAGATTGTCAGCAGCGTTCCGTGACGTCTACATGCCTCGTCGTCGGTGCACACGTGACAGGAAGTCCTCGGTCTGTTGACATCGGCCCAATCTCCTGGTTCCACTTCCGGCGCAGCTACGTTGTCATTTGGAGTGGTGGCTCCAGCCGTCGAACGTTTGCGAGGGCGTCTTTATGAGCGAGCCTCCGTTCATACTACACCTATTCGTAGACGCGTCATTGGAAGGCTGGGGAGCGCACTTCGGGGACGACCAAGAGGCCGGGCGGTGGTCGCCAGTAGAAAAGGTCCTCCACATCAACTACCTCGAGATGGAAGCAGTGATTCGGGCGGTCGAGTTTTGGAAACTTCGACTCCGTCGGAAACGGCTGATGATACAGTCGGACAACTCCACAGTCGTCCTCTGCGTCAACAAACAGGGAACAACTCAGTCGGCGGCCCTTCTGGACCGGACATTCAGGTTCTTCGCCCTCGTCGACGACTTGGACATGGGCGTACGCGCCCGTCACATCCCGGGGGCCAAGAATGTGATTGCCGACGCCCTGTCGAGACCATCGAGGCCGTCTCCTACGGAGTGGATGATCCATCCGACAGTCTTTCATCTGCTGACAGATCGACTCTGGTTGCCCCAAGTAGATCTCTTTGCTGCCCCGTACAACAACCGCCTCCCTCGATTCGTGTCGCCGGTTCCAGACCCATGGGCATGGGACCACGACGCTCTAGCGATATCGTGGGGGGTCTAGACGCTTACGCGTTTCCACCAACGGTGCTGTTACCATCGCAACTGGTGAAAGTTCGTCAAACGGCCAACCTACGTCTGCTTTTGGTCGCGCCTTATTGGCCGGCCAGAACATGGTTCCCGGAACTTCTTCAGATCATCGTTCAACCACCGTTCCCGTTGCCAGATCGAGACGACCTCCTTCTTCATCCTCAATAGAGAGACACCGACGACTTGCATCCGGGGATAAAGAACTTCCAGCTTCACGCCTGGGTTTGCTTAAGACCTCGTTAATGAAGAAAGGCTATTCGGCTAAAGCGGCAGCGCTTGTCTCGTCGGCACATCGAGTTACGACTCGTAAGCTGTAAGATGACAAGTGGACCACTTTCTCCATTTTCGCCAGGTCTCATGGCTTCAACCCGGCGGTAGCGACCCCACCACAGGTGGCGGAGTTCTTAGTCTCTCTCCGGTCATCTCGGCGTCTGAAAGGGTCGACGATCTCGACATATCTGGCAGCTTTGGCTTCAGTAGTGCCGTCTCCTACGGGCGACAAGCTCACTACCGTACCGGAGTTGCAGAAGATTCTACGTGCCTTCATGGTTGAAGATCAGTCACGTAAATTCCGACCGCCGGCCTGGGACCTCGATGTCGTTCTGCGCATCCTGTCTAGTCAGGCTTACGAGCCTCTCGATCAGGTCGCGTTCGACTTATTGTCTCAGAAAACGTTTTTTCCTTCTCTCGCTGGCTACGGCTGCGAGAATTACGGAAATACATGCCATTGACGTCGGTCGGATTATGTTCGATCAGCGTAACCATGGCAACGATAACTACGATGGGGATCGTAGTACTTCTACAGTTAGAGATCGTAGCTCTCGTCCCCACGGGGACGTGCGACGTTCTCGCAGGGAGAATTTGGGGGTTCAGCGTCGTAGTGAAGATAGTGACAGAACGACGACCTCGTCTCACTTTCATATCGACCCGGCTTTGATAGCCCAGATCACGGCGGCGGTCCTCGCCTCGACGGCGTCGACCAAGAAGGATACGACTACGTCAGGGGTCCATGGCCCGTCAACTATTCTACGATGGGGATCGTAGTACTTCTACGGTTAGAGATCGTAGCCCTCGTCCCCACGGGGACGTGCGACGTTCTCGCAGGGAGAGTTTGGGGGTTCAGCGTCGTAGTGAAGATAGTGACAGAACGACGACCTCGTCTCACTTTCATATCGACCCGGCTTTGATAGCCCAGACACGGCGGCGGTCCTCGCCTCGACGGCGTCGACCAAGAAGGATACGACTACGTCAGGGGTCCATGGCCCGTCAACTAGTACAGCAGCTCCTTCATCTACGCCTCCACACTCGACGTCGACGATGGATTGTGACGTCCATCTTGGTCTCCGATGGGATTTTTTAGCGAAAAATTAACTTCCTGGCCAAGATCCGAGAATGTTCAACATTCCTTCCTTGTCTGCCATTATGGGCCCTCGTGATCACGCTGATCTCACCTTGTGCCCAGTTCGTGCGTTTCGTATTTACCTGCAGCGTTCTGAACAGCGACGACAACATTTTCGACGGCTGTTCATACCGCTCTCAACCAATGCAAAGAAAGAGATTACACGTAATACTCTCTCATTTTGGTTGAGAGCGGTAATTCTCAGAGGTTACGAGGCGCAAGGACTCGCACCTCCCACCTCCTCTCATCCGCACGAAGTTCGAGCCATCGCTTCAACATTAGCACTCCACAGTAATTGTTCGCTACAAGCTATTATGGAGGGCTGCTTTTGGAGATCTACTTCAGTGTTTGCTTCGCATTATCTTAGAGATATCTCCACAGAAGATGTTGAAGGACTCAAACAGTTTGGTCCACTCGTGGTGGCACAACAGATCTCTCAGAAAAGACAGTGAATTTGTATTTTATTCACTTTGGAGTTTTTGCTCGACACTTCGTGACGTATAACAGGTTACAATAAAAGCTGTTGGTGAATGTACGCATTCTTATGGTTTTTTGTTGCGTGTAGTACTTCTGTTTTTTATTATGGTTATTCGGTGTATGCATCATCTTCCCATACATTGTAATACTGCTCGTATTTTTTAGTTACTTTGTATACTGCGAGTTGCTCTGTAACTAAATTATGCGCCGACCACACTTCGATCCGGGTTCAACTGACGTGTGCAGTTGTACTGTCGCATCGATAATTAGTTGTGTGTCGATGAGCATTACCCATGCTATTTTAGTTACCTTGTCTACGGCGAGTTCTGTAACTAAATTATACGCCGACCACATTTCGATCGCAATTCAACTGACGTGTGCAGTTGTCCTGTCGCTTCGATAATTAGTTGTGAGTCGAAGAGCATTAAACATGCTGTTTTAGTTACCTTGTATACTGCGAGTTGCTCTGTAACTAAACTATTCGTCGACCACACTTCGATCGCAGTTCAACTGACGCGTGCAGTTGGCCTGTCGCATCGATAATTAGTTGTGTGTCGAAGAGCATTAACCATGCTGTGCGTTCGTGATAAACAACTTGTCTCGTCCGTGCATCTGGTCGAATGTTCTATTGTCACTACAGGGGTGAGGAACTTGGTACATTCGACGTGAAAGTGGTCACTGCCTGATTACTTTCCCGACCCTCCTTCCAGTGTTCCGTCGAATTCTACCCATTTGTACGACTGAAAACAGACTAAAACATGGGTTTTTCAGATTAAAAACGATGTTTTATTGGTCTGTTTTCAGTCGTACGTTCCCACCCAGCCATCCCCACAGGGAAGTAATCCAGTCCAGTCCTGCTTGATGGCTTATTCTTCGAGATTTGTGACATGTCATAGGGAGGTGCGTGCGCAACCGGACGGAAACAAGTTTAATGTTTACATTCCAGCTTCTGGCTTCCTCTAAACGTGCGACTAGACGTGAGGGTATGAGAGATACCCATTTGTACGACTGAAAACAGACCAATAAAACATCGTTTTTAATCTGAAAAACCCATATTATACGATCAGGGTCATGTTCCACAAAGCGATCGTAGTGCTAGGACGATTGTAAGCCTGTGTTAGAATATGGGAGTTACGATCCCCTTAGCGCTATGATCGTTTTGTGGAAGGAGGCCCTGGGGGATGTGTGCTGTATTTGGTTGTAATACTGTTGTTGCCTGTTTGCAGGTTGGTGTTATTGCAATCAACGTCATAGGGGATCCGCTGACAAAATCCTACGACCCTACAGACCCAGTGAGTCACAGAAACAGTAGTTTGTTTGTTTGTTTCTTTAACGCTGCACTCAGCAATATTCCAGTTATATGATGGCGGTTTTAAAATAATCAAGTCTGGTCAAGGCCTGCTTAAAAAAATGAAAAAATGATATAACATATTAGTGCTTATATATCCTTATCTTTTAACACATAAATCATGTAAATTATCATTGTCTTTCTGGTAGCATTTGTTGAGTTTTTCCCCAAAATTCAATGTAGAAATACTTTCTAGAATGATTGTTTTCTTTTTTTAAGGAGTACCTGCTTGATGTAAGTGACAATCGAATAGATAAAGACCCTGCATTGGATGGTTACTTGAACAGGTGAGTGGGACACTATTGAACGGGCACACCTGGTGTAACTGTTGGTATCAGTCCGAAAGCCCTTGTCATTGGCGCTGTGCCTTATTTGTGTTTGAGAAAATTGCATGAGGGAATGGGCCATAGGGATGAGTAATTGTTGGAAAGATGTAACCAAACTTTAATAGAAACTTTATCTTTGTCTCTCATGTGTATAATGATATGCGTACATACTAAATACATAAATAATAATGAAAATATGCCTAACTGTAAATTATTACCCTCAACGTGTTTATGTTATTTGGCATCCACGAGGAGGCGAAGGGCAGGGTACCAATCTAGCTCTATTCGACCTATTTCCCAATACAGCATTTGCTGCCGTGAAACGTTGACCCATTTCCATGAAGCGGGTCTGTCTGTCGAGAGGGACGGGAACAGGGCTATAACATATCGCTGTGCAGCAAACGTTGACCCAGTTTCTGTGTAGTGAGATATTAGCACTTTTGGACAGTGTGAATAATTGACATATCAGGCTACAGGAGTAAACATAGTACCACTAGTGGCCCTGCATATCTGTCAAATACTGCAGCATAGACCAGCATATGTTGGTGGCTTCCTAGTGGACCTGCATATCTGTCAAATACTGCAGCATAGACCAGCATATGTTGGTGGCTTCCTAGTGGACCTGCATATCTGTCGAATACTGCAGCATAGACTAGCTTATGTTGGTGGCTTCCTAGTCGACCTGCATATCTGTCAAATATTGCAGCATAGACTAGCTTATGTTGGTGGCTTCCTGGTGGACCTGCATATCTGTCAAATACTGCAGCATAGACTAGCTTATGTTGGTGGCTTCCTAGTGGACCTGCATATCTGTTGAATACTGCAGCATAGACTAGCTTATGTTGGTGGCTTCCTAGTGGACCTGCCTATCTGTCAAATACTGCAGCATAGACTAGCTTATGTTGCTGGCTTCCTGGTGGACCTGCATATCTGTCAAATATTGCAGCATAGACTAGCTTATGTTGGTGGCTTCCTAGTGGACCTGCATATCTGTCAAATACTGCAGCATAGACTAGCTCATGTTGGTGGCTTCCTGGTGGACCTGCATATCTGTCGAATACTGCAAGATAGACTAGCTTAGGTTGTTGACTTACTGAATGAATTATCCAGTGACTTAGTCTCCCCGTCTCTGCAGACCGGACTACATTTCGCCTCTGGACGACCTCGCCTTCGACATGTACCAGGACCCTGAGATTGCTCAGATCATCCGCAGGTTGGAGCGCAAGAAGCAGGAAGCTGTGTTACGTGAGTTCATTGGATTACTGATAAAATGAGGATATTGGATTGGGTGGTTACTTATTTGATTGTGTGACATTGTACTCTTATGGCATGGATCATTGATCACAATATCGATCACTGGATTGTCTGGTCAAAATGTAATTATTTACAGTCCATTGTCATATAGCTAGAATATTGCTGAATGTGATGTTAAAAACAAACAAACAACTAACCTAAAAAATTATAATAAATGTTATATATTGGAAAGGCACTATTTTTTCTTTTCCTACCAAATGCATACTTATGTTCATAATATAGGCTCAATTGCCAGACAGCAGTATGCAACAGGTTCAATGAGAGGACAAGCTTAACTCCCACAGTCCACATGGCAACACATTCAGTTTATAAATATTTCTGCATGAAACATGATTTGCAAACACATTTACAGTAAGAACTTGAGTTAATGTATCAAGAGACCCATGAAGATCCGGGGTAGAAAAGGTCTTCAGCAACCCATGCTTGCCGTAAAAGGCGACTATGCTTGTCGTAAAAGGCGACTAACGGGATCGAGTGGTCAGGCTCGCTGACTTGGTTGATACATGTCATCGATCCCAATTGCGTGGATCTATGCTCATGATATCAATCACTGGATTGTCTAGTCCAGACTCCATTATTTACAGACCGCCGTCATACAGCTGGAATATTGCTGAGTGAGGCGTTCAACAACAAACAAACAAACTTACTAATGTATCAAGAAATGTAGGTTCAAGACATATGTTTTTGAGTAACCACACTCTAGTTATTATGTTGTTTTTCAGAGGAGCGTTATGACTATGCAAAGAGGTTAAAACATGCAATAGCTGAACTTCAAAAGGTAAGCAGTAAGCTTGACACTCTTGCATGAATCAGGGAACAGTTATGGGTGCAGCAGAGCTACAGATGAGCTGCATATTCGCGTAAAATACCCCACAAAAATATCCAAAACCCAATTACTTTCAATTAACTTGAGTACTGAAACACATGCATTAAATGAAGAACTCAAATCTATAAAAACAGCATGCGTAAATGAAGATGGAGCTAATTTCTGAAACGCAATTTCGAACTAATTTACTTTCCAAGTCAAGCCTTTAGTTAGAACCCTTATATACATCTAAAACATCATTTTATTTTTATTTTTTTTGAAATCATAAAAATGTTAGCTCATTTTGGGAAAAACCCAATAGAATGATGAATAGATGAGTGAAAAAATATTGGTTACCCAATGAAAAATGTAAAAAAGAAACCCTTGAGTTAAAACTCAAATGCTCAAAAAGTTATCTGGAGCTCTGGTGCAGTGTGGTTGCATTGGTTTGCATGGGCTGCATGCCAGGATGTGAGGCTGCATGAACATGATGAACAGGTACAGGAGCATGTGCTGAAGGTTATGGAACCAACAATAACCCGTTCAATGTCAGAATAGCTTTCACATATCTGTGAAACGTCCATTATTGTACGTATTTGTCATGAATTTGCTATGAAAAAATTATTTCTTCCTTGATTTAATGTAAATAAAATGGCAGGCTACAAAAAAAATATCGCAGTAACTAAATTTTCAAAGACACTGTTTATAGGTAAGAGAGGGTCATAATTTAGCCATATTCCATCTGCTTTTACTTTCTCACATTGTGTGGCCAGTGGGGGGATTCTGGGTTAGAATAGGTCCCCAGCAATCCATGTAGGTCGAAAGAGGTGACCTAATCAATGTTGATGACTTAGTAGATAGCATGTCATGGAACCAGACAGCATTGAATGGTGCTCACAATATCAGTCACTTGATTGGCCGGACTATATTTGACTGCCCACTGTAACAAACAAACAAACAAGCACACCGTGGGTTGAGGACACTATCCAGATATGTTGTGCCTGGTCAGACCATGACTTGCCAATGGTATATTTCTTGATGTTCAGCCATCTCATATAAATGGACATGTTAAAATACAGGGATAATGTGAATGTCGTTTCTAGGGGCCATAGATTCTAATCTGAAAAAGACATGCAAGCAATATGAAGTAAAACTCGGTCTCAGTAATGATACACCATCTATTTAAGGAGTGCGCAGCTAGGTCTAAATCACCTGCGATGGACTATACCCCAGCATCCATGCGTTACCCCTCGTCCTGGCCTTACGAATCAGTGGCCCTCGATGCGTCTACATCTTTTGAACCTCATCTGGATCAGGATTGGCCAGTGCCAAGGGATCCACTTATGACTTATGAACCTTATGGAAGGCAAGCAGGACCCGCAGGAAAGAAAAATGTCCGCCAAATTCATATTGATACGGAAGAACTTATTCGAAGCGCTCGCAACGGACAACCTCCTGAACTTAACCTTGAACTTGAAAATGACGAGGAACTGAAGATTTCCTTGGATTTTACCCACATGGTGACCTTTCTAAATATTGGAGAGTTGTAGATGATTGCCAGACTTACACATAGTCGAAACTGCTTGCTTCTCTTCCTTGGGTATGCTTTAACATGTGTGAAGGTTAGGATCTATTAGCCCCTAGAATAGATAAACAGAAAAATCCTGTTATGTTGCTAAATGTCAGACAGAATATCATCATGTACTGGTAATTAAGAAAATTAAATCTTTGACTTTGGACATTGGGAAAGATGTTTTTGGAGATTATTATACTTAACCCTCCCACTTTCAGCAAAATTGGATACACATTCTTAGATATTAATTAAAAAACATATTATAATGATGTATCAGCATTTTTGCTTTGATTTTGATGAGCTGGTTTAAATGGAATTTCAGTGTTTGAGCTTCAAAATATATCCTAGCGTCAGACATTGTAGGAATCATCAATTGGTTGGAGTTTATTGTTTCTCCTTGGAGTTGTAAGGAGTTACATGTAGTTTTATTCTGAATGCACTGACACAGACATATGTCTCATAGATACAATAATATAATATAATCAGTCATGAAACTTGTATCACATGGTAAGTCATAGAACAGTCATTGATATTTGAACCAGACTATATGTGTGTTTTTCAAAACATATTTTATGAAGACTGGAAACATTAGATTTCACTCATTTCACATGTATGAATAAAGAGAGTACTCCATTATCATATTGTACGTCCACCCCAAGGGTCAGATATTAAGACCCTCCATGCTCCCATCTCTAAATCTCTAAACCATCAACTCAATAGCTTCAATGTGGTCATCATCAACATGGAGAGAACAGGATTTTTCTGTTAAACTTTGCATGTCTCTAACTAACAAAATTATATTGCATGTTTCTGTTAGTTTTTTGTATACAGTATAGCTCTATTATTGCATATATACTGAACTGCAAAAGAAACATCACTCATGAAATAAATTCATGAAAGTTTTCCGCTGAAATATCAATGTATTTTTCAGTGGAATCTCATTTTTGACATTAGACTGTATCCAAATATAATGTTAACAGCCAAAAAGTGAACCAAATATGGATATAATAGGTTGTCAAAATGCAGCCTAACATACGACATCCCTAGGTTTGTCAGCACCAAAGCCTTGGTCGTGGGTTTCACCAATGTGGTAAGCATCCAGGGCTTGCATCAGTTCAGGCTGTCCTCCCACATTAAGCTTATATACTGTGATATAACTAAATTCTGTTCAAAGCGGCATTTAACCCAACTCACTCACTCTTGATTTTACAAATGATGCCATGTTTTCTACAGGCCCTATAATGGTGCAGCAGGTCCAAATTGATTATTTGGAGAACAATGCCAGATTTTTGATTTTGGTCTTTAATATTTGCAGTGATGCCATTGTTTTGGCTCCTCAAACAATAGTTTACCACTCATGACCTTCGGAGCAAGATTGCAGCCATAGACAATAATCTTTAAAGACTGAGGTTCTAAACTGTTAAATGGCTTCAAAAAAAAAAAAAATATCCTGTGGCATTGCATTTGGAAACAGCATGATGTGTCCAGTATGTGATGAATTAAACATTAGTTGGGAGACAAAACTCAACATCAGCAATCATCAGGCAATTCTGTGGATCAAGATGTGTGGCACAGTCTTTGCGCTAAGGTAATCGTAACTCCTATACCTTAACATAGACTTACGACAGTCTTAGCGCAAAGGTAATCTTAACTCCCATACCTTAACATAGACTTACGACAGTGTTTGCGCTCAGGTAATCGTAACTCCCATACCTTAACATAAACTTACGACAGTCTTTGTGCTAAGGTAATTGAAACTCCCATACCTTACATAGACCTACGACAGTCTTTGCGCTAAGGTAATCGTAACTCCCATACTTGACATAGACTTATGAGAGTCTTAGCTCTAAAGTTATGGTAACTCCCATACCTTAACATAGACTTATGACAGTCTTTGCGCTAAGGTGATTGTAACTCTCATACCTTAACATAGGCTTACAACAGTCATGGGGGCTAAGGTTTTGTGCAATGGCACCCAGTCATTTTGTTGCTAAATGAAAGTTGGAACTAGGATTTGTACAGTTGATGACTTCTGGAAGGTGAGCTTCTGTACCTGTCACCACCATCACCCTGTTGAGCAGTCACATGACTTGTTCTATTTATATCCTACTTGACCCAACTATCACGTGACCAGGTGGGCGAGAAGTTGGGTAAGATGGAGGTTGAGAAGCGCCAAGCTGTGGAGAATGAAGACTACGATAAAGCCAAGGTGAAAAAGCTGCAGATGGATGAATACCGCCTCCATATATACAAGGATCTGAATCTCCCCGACCTCCTGGAAACCACTGGGGTAATGTCTTGTACTGGCTTCATGATGAGTTCACGTAAAACATGAGAGTGTGAAATATGTAGACATTTGCGGGATGAGAATTGGAGCTTTAATATGGTGGGGGGGGGGGGGATTTTGTGATGCTTCTAGATAGGCTGTTTGAAACCATATTGACTGGAAGAGAACATTTCGTTCAGTAGTATGGTTGCTCTTTGAAAAGAAACTGGACATATTAAATCAGAGGCCTAGTTTTCTTGGTGCCTAGTGTATATTGTCATTATAAAAATTATTATTAACATAATGTTTTAGTTCAGAGCTGAAGTAGCACTATGTTACCTTTAGTTTCTGATAAGCGATGTTTCAAATATTTAGTTAGATTTTGACAAATAGTGTGATAGCTTCAGTATTTTTAATTAGCAGAAAGTAGTTTTCTCTGTTAAGCTGATTTACTAATAACTAGCATGCCTGACACTGCGGGATTAAGATAAGCATGACACATAACATTGGGGGGAGAGCATCGTGTTTTCATATCTGGTGCTAGTTCATATATTCTGCTACTGAATGCTAATAACGCTTGTGAGCTTTATGTAATAGGCATGATACATACCGGTAAGAGAAACAGTCACATTGAATGCAGTATCTTTTTAAGTGGCATGCTTGGATGGTAAACTAGAGTGTTTCTTTAGCAAAGTGGTGAAATATTTGTGTCAGATATTAAGAAAAACATTTCAGCTCTTCTTCATGTTGCTATGAAATATGATATTTCTTATTCTTTTCTGAGTCTTTTTAGGGACTTAATAAACAAATCTTACTTAGGAATTTGTTTTGTATAATTCTAGATAATGATTATTATTTTGACCCTTTCTCTTTGTAACCACTATTTTTTTTTACTTTCCAACAGTCAAGGCATCCACATCCAATAAACTTTGGTAAGTAAAACAGTTTTGGGGAAATATTTTTTGTAGTTTTTGATGCAGTGGAGGTTGACATGGTGAAGTGATACGTGGAGTGTGATGGGTGTAACAAGGTGGAGTGAGACGTGGAGTGTGATGGGTGTAACATGGTGGAGTGAGACATGGAGTGTGTGAGACATGGAGTGAGATGGGTGTAACATGGTGGAGTGAGACATGGAGTGTGATGAGTGTAACATGGTGGAGTGAGACATGGAGTGTGATGGGTGTAACATGGTGGAGTGAGACATGGAGTGTGATGGGTGTAACATGGTGGAGTGAGACATGGAGTGTGTGAGACATGGAGTGAGATGGGTGTAACATGGTGGAGTGAGACGTGGAGTGTGATGGGTGTAACATGGTGGAGTGAGACATGGAGTGTGATGGGTGTAACATGGTGGAGTGAGACATGGAGTGTGATGGGTGTAACATGGTGGAGTGAGACATGGAGTGTGTGAGACATGGAGTGAGATGGGTGTAACATGGTGGAGTGAGACGTGGAGTGTGATGAGTGTAACATGGTGGAGTGAGACATGGAGTGTGATGTGTGTAACATGGTGGAGTGAGACATGGAGTGTGATGGGTGTAACATGGTGGAGTGAGACATGGAGTGTGTGAGACATGGAGTGAGATGGGTGTAACATGGTGGAGTGAGACGTGGAGTGTGATGGGTGTAACATGGTGGAGTGAGACATGGAGTGTGTGAGACATGGAGTGAGATGGGTGTAACATGGTGGAGTGAGACATGGAGTGTGATGAGTGTAACATGGTGGAGTGAGACATGGAGTGTGATGGGTGTAACATGGTGGAGTGAGACATGGAGTGTGATGGGTGTAACATGGTGGTGCGAGATGTGGAGTGTGATGAGTGTGACATGGTGGAGTGAGAGGTGGTCGAGTGAGACGTGGAGCGTGATGGGTGTGATGTGGTGGAGTGAGACGTGGAGTGTGATGAGTGTGACATGGTGGAATGAGACATGGAGTGTGATGTGTGTGACATGGTGAAGTGAGACGTGGAGTGTGATGGGTGTAACATGGTGGTGCGAGACGTGGAGTGTGATGAGTGTGACATGGTGGAATGAGATATCGAGTGTGATGGGTGTAACATGGTGGTGCGAGACGTGGAGCGTGATGGGTGTAATGTGGTGGAGTGAGACATGGAGTGTGATGGGTGTAACATGGTGGAGTGAGACATGGAGCGTGATGGGTGTAACATGGTGGAGTGAGACATGGAGTGTGATGGGTGTAACATGGTGGAGTGAGACATGGAGTGTGTGAGACATGGAGTGTGATGGGTGTAACATGGTGGAGTGAGACATGGAGTGTGATGGGTGTAACATGGTGGAGTGAGACATGGAGTGTGATGGGTGTAACATGGTGGAGTGAGACATGGAGCGTGATGGGTGTAATGTGGTGGAGTGAGACATGGAGTGTGATGGGTGTAATGTGGTGGAGTGAGACATGGAGTGTGATGGGTGTAACATGGTGGAGTGAGACATGGAGCGTGATGGGTGTAACATGGTGGAGTGAGACATGGAGTGTGATGGGTGTAACATGGTGGAGTGAGACATGGAGTGTGTGAGACATGGAGTGTGATGGGTGTAACATGGTGGAGTGAGACATGGAGCGTGATGGGTGTAATGTGGTGGAGTGAGACATGGAGTGTGATGGGTGTAACATGGTGGAGTGAGACATGGAGTGTGATGGGTGTAACATGGTGGAGTGAGACATGGAGCGTGATGGGTGTAATGTGGTGGAGTGAGACATGGAGTGTGATGGGTGTAACATGGTGGAGTGAGACATGGAGTGTGATGGGTGTAACATGGTGGAGTGAGACATGGAGTGTGATGGGTGTAACATGGTAGAGTGAGACATGGAGTGTGATTGGTGTAGCATGGTGGAGTGAGACATGGTGTGTGACGGGTGTGACATGGTGGAGTGAGACATGGAACGTGATGGGTGTAACATGGTGGAGTGAGACGTGGAGTGTGATGGGTGTTACATGGTGGAGTGAGACATGGAGTGTGATGGGTGTAACATGGTGGAGTGAGACCTGGAGTGTGATGGGTGTAACATGGTGGAGTGAGACATGGTGTGTGACGGGTGTAACATGGTGGAGTGAAACGTGGAGTGTGATGGGTGTAACATGGTTGAGTGAGACGTGGAGTGTGATGTGTGTGACATGGTGGAGTGAGACATGGAGTGTGATGGGTGTTACATGGTGGAGTGAGACATGGAGTGTGATGGGTGTAACATGGTGGAGTGAGACATGGAGCGTGATGAGTGTAACATGGTGGAGTGAGACATGGAGCGTGATGAGTGTAACATGGTGGAATGAGACATGGAGTGTGATGTGTGTGACATGGTGAAGTGAGACGTGGAGTGTGATGGGTGTAACATGGTGGTGCGAGACGTGGAGTGTGATGAGTGTGACATGGTGGAATGAGATATCGAGTGTGATGGGTGTAACATGGTGGTGCGAGACGTGGAGCGTGATGGGTGTAATGTGGTGGAGTGAGACATGGAGTGTGATGGGTGTAATGTGGTGGAGTGAGACATGGAGTGTGATGGGTGTAACATGGTGGAGTGAGACATGGAGCGTGATGGGTGTAACATGGTGGAGTGAGACATGGAGTGTGATGGGTGTAACATGGTGGAGTGAGACATGGAGTGTGTGAGACATGGAGTGTGATGGGTGTAACATGGTGGAGTGAGACATGGAGCTTGATGGGTGTAATGTGGTGGAGTGAGACATGGAGTGTGATGGGTGTAACATGGTGGAGTGAGACATGGAGTGTGATGGGTGTAACATGGTGGAGTGAGACATGGAGCGTGATGGGTGTAATGTGGTGGAGTGAGACATGGAGTGTGATGGGTGTAACATGGTGGAGTGAGACATGGAGTGTGATGGGTGTAACATGGTGGAGTGAGACATGGAGTGTGATGTGTGTAACATGGTAGAGTGAGACATGGAGTGTGATTGGTGTAGCATGGTGGAGTGAGACATGGTGTGTGACGGGTGTGACATGGTGGAGTGAGACATGGAACGTGATGGGTGTAACATGGTGGAGTGAGACGTGGAGTGTGATGGGTGTTACATGGTGGAGTGAGACATGGAGTGTGATGGGTGTAACATGGTGGAGTGAGACCTGGAGTGTGATGGGTGTAACATGGTGGAGTGAGACATGGTGTGTGACGGGTGTAACATGGTGGAGTGAAACGTGGAGTGTGATGGGTGTAACATGGTTGAGTGAGACGTGGAGTGTGATGTGTGTGACATGGTGGAGTGAGACATGGAGTGTGATGGGTGTTACATGGTGGAGTGAGACATGGAGTGTGATGGGTGTAACATGGTGGAGTGAGACATGGAGCGTGATGAGTGTAACATGGTGGAGTGAGACATGGAGCGTGATGAGTGTAACATGGTGGAATGAGACATGGAGTGTGATGTGTGTGACATGGTGAAGTGAGACGTGGAGTGTGATGGGTGTAACATGGTGGTGCGAGACGTGGAGTGTGATGAGTGTGACATGGTGGAATGAGATATCGAGTGTGATGGGTGTAACATGGTGGTGCGAGACGTGGAGCGTGATGGGTGTAATGTGGTGGAGTGAGACATGGAGTGTGATGGGTGTAACATGGTGGAGTGAGACATGGAGCGTGATGGGTGTAACATGGTGGAGTGAGACATGGAGTGTGATGGGTGTAACATGGTGGAGTGAGACATGGAGTGTGTGAGACATGGAGTGTGATGGGTGTAACATGGTGGAGTGAGACATGGAGTGTGATGGGTGTAACATGGTGGAGTGAGACATGGAGCGTGATGGGTGTAATGTGGTGGAGTGAGACATGGAGTGTGATGGGTGTAACATGGTGGAATGAGACATGGAGTGTGATGGGTGTAATGTGGTGGAGTGAGACATGGAGTGTGATGGGTGTAATGTGGTGGAGTGAGACATGGAGTGTGATGGGTGTAACATGGTGGAGTGAGACATGGAGCGTGATGGGTGTAACATGGTGGAGTGAGACATGGAGTGTGATGGGTGTAACATGGTGGAGTGAGACATGGAGTGTGTGAGACATGGAGTGTGATGGGTGTAACATGGTGGAGTGAGACATGGAGCGTGATGGGTGTAATGTGGTGGAGTGAGACATGGAGTGTGATGGGTGTAACATGGTGGAGTGAGACATGGAGTGTGATGGGTGTAACATGGTGGAGTGAGACATGGAGCGTGATGGGTGTAATGTGGTGGAGTGAGACATGGAGTGTGATGGGTGTAACATGGTGGAGTGAGACATGGAGTGTGATGGGTGTAACATGGTGGAGTGAGACATGGAGTGTGATGTGTGTAACATGGTAGAGTGAGACATGGAGTGTGATTGGTGTAGCATGGTGGAGTGAGACATGGTGTGTGACGGGTGTGACATGGTGGAGTGAGACATGGAACGTGATGGGTGTAACATGGTGGAGTGAGACGTGGAGTGTGATGGGTGTTACATGGTGGAGTGAGACATGGAGTGTGATGGGTGTAACATGGTGGAGTGAGACCTGGAGTGTGATGGGTGTAACATGGTGGAGTGAGACATGGTGTGTGACGGGTGTAACATGGTGGAGTGAAACGTGGAGTGTGATGGGTGCAACATGATGGGGTGAGATGTGGAGTGTGATGGGGGTAACATGGTGGAGTGAGACGCGGAATGTGATGTGTGTAACATGGTGGAGTGTGATGGGTGTAACATGGTAGAGTGAGCGTGGAGTGTGATGGGTGTAACATGTTGGAGCGTGATGGGTGTAACATGTTGGAGCGTGATTGGTGTAACATGTTGGAGCGTGATTGGTGTAACATGGTGGAGTGTGATGGGTGTAACATGGTAGAGTGAGACGTGGAGTGTGATGGGTGTAACATGGTTGAGTGAGACGTGGAGTGTGATGTGTGTGACATGGTGGAGTGAGACATGGAGTGTGATGGGTGTTACATGGTGGAGTGAGACATGGAGTGTGATGGGTGTAACATGGTGGAGTGAGACATGGAGCGTGATGAGTGTAACATGGTGGAGTGAGACATGGAGCGTGATGAGTGTAACATGGGGGAGTGAGACATTGAGCGTGATGGGTGTTACATGGTGGAGTGAGACATGGAGTGTGATGGGTGTAATGTGGTGGAGTGAGACGTGGAGTGTGATGTGTGTGACATGGTGGAGTGAGACATGGAGTGTGATGGGTGTAATGTGGTGGAGTGAGACGTGGAGTGTGATGTGTGTGACATGGTGGAGTGAGACATGGAGTGTGATGGGTGTAACATGGTGGAGGGAGACGTGGAGTGTGATGTGTGTGACATGGTGGAGTGAGACATGGAGCGTGATGTGTGTGACATGGTGGAGTGAGACATGGAGTGTGATGGGTGTTACATGGTGGAGTGAGACATGGAGTGTGATGTGTGTTACATGGTGGAGTGAGACATGGAGTGTGATGTGTGTTACATGGTGGAGTGAGACATGGAGTGTGATGTGTGTGACATGGTGGAGTGAGACATGGAGTGTGATGGGTGTAACATGGTGGAGTGTAACATGGTTGAGTGAGACGTGGAGTGTGATGTGTGTGACATGGTGGAGTGAGACATGGAGTGTGATGGGTGTTACATGGTGGAGTGAGACATGGAGTGTGATGGGTGTAACATGGTGGAGTGAGACATGGAGCGTGATGAGTGTAACATGGTGGAGTGAGACATGGAGCGTGATGAGTGTAACATGGGGGAGTGAGACATGGAGCGTGATTGGTGTTACATGGTGGAGTGAGACATGGAGTGTGATGGGTGTAATGTGGTGGAGTGAGACGTGGAGTGTGATGTGTGTGACATGGTGGAGTGAGACATGGAGTGTGATGGGTGTAATGTGGTGGAGTGAGACGTGGAGTGTGATGTGTGTGACATGGTGGAGTGAGACATGGAGTGTGAAGGGTGTAATGTGGTGGAGTGAGACGTGGAGTGTGATGTGTGTGACATGGTGGAGTGAGACATGGAGTGTGATGGGTGTAACATGGTGGAGTGAGACATGGAGTGTGATGGGTGTAACATGGTGGAGTGAGACGTGGAGTGTGATGGGTGTAACATGGTGGAGTGAGACATGGAGTGTGATGGGTGTAACATGGTGGAGTGAGACATGGAGTGTGATGGGTGTAACATGGTAGAGTGAGATGTGGAGTGTGATGGGTGTAACATGGTGGAGTGAGACGTGGAGTGTGATGTGTGTGACATGGTGGAGTGAGACATGGAGCGTGAGACATGGAGCGTGATGGGTGTTTCATGGTGGAGTGAGACATGGAGTGTGATGGGTGTAACATGGTGGAGTGAGACGTGGAGTGTGATGTGTGTGACATGGTGGAGTGAGACATGGAGCGTGATGTGTGTGACATGGTGGAGTGAGACATGGAGTGTGATGGGTGTTACATGGTGGAGTGAGACATGGAGTGTGATGTGTGTTACATGGTGGAGTGAGACATGGAGTGTGATGTGTGTTACATGGTGGAGTGAGACATGGAGTGTGATGTGTGTTACATGGTGGAGTGAGACATGGAGTGTGATGTGTGTTACATGGTGGAGTGAGACATGGAGTGTGATGGGTGTTACATGGTGGAGTGAGACATGGAGTGTGATGGGTGTTACATGGTGGAGTGAGACATGGAGCGTGATGTGTGTTACATGGTGGAGTGAGACATGGAGTGTGATGGGTGTAACATGGTAGAGTGAGATGTGGAGTGTGATGGGTGTAACATGGTGGAGTGAGACGTGGAGTGTGATGTGTGTGACATGGTGGAGTGAGACATGGAGCGTGAGACATGGAGCGTGATGGGTGTTTCATGGTGGAGTGAGACATGGAGTGTGATGGGTGTAACATGGTGGAGTGAGACGTGGAGTGTGATGTGTGTGAGATGGTGGAGTGAGACATGGAGCGTGATGTGTGTGACATGGTGGAGTGAGACATGGAGTGTGATGGGTGTTACATGGTGGAGTGAGACGTGGAGTGTGATGTGTGTGACATGGTGGAGTGAGACATGGAGTGTGATGGGTGTTACATGGTGGAGTGAGACGTGGAGTGTGATGTGTGTGACATGGTGGAGTGAGACATGGAGCGTGATGGGTGTTACATGGTGGAGTGAGACGTGGAGTGTGATGTGTGTAACATGGTGGAGTGAGACGTGGAGTGTGATGAGTGTGACATGGTGGAGTGAGACATGGAGCGTGATGGGTGTTACATGGTGGAGTGAGACGTGGAGTGTGATGTGTGTGACATGGTGGAGTGAGACATGGAGTGTGATGAGTGTTACATGGTGGAGTGAGACATGGAGTGTGATGTGTGTGACATGGTGGAGTGAGACATGGAGCGTGATGGGTGTTACATGGTGGAGTGAGACATGGAGTGTGATGGGTGTTACATGGTGGAGTGAGACATGGAGTGTGATGGGTGTAACGTGGTGGAGTGAGACATGGTGTGTGATGAGTGTGACGTGGAGAGTGATGTGGTTGAGTGACATAGAGAATTACGTATTTGAGTGACGTGGAATGAAGTGTAACATGGAGATTGACTTGGGATGACATGGAGAGTGATGTGGTGGGGTGTGACGTGCCAAGCGTGACATGGAGAGTGACGCTATATATAGATTTTTATCAAGTTCATCTTGAACCTTCAAAATAAAAATGTCTATTGGCTTAGAAGATTCACGCTGTCGCCAACTGACTGTAGACTGAGCCTGTGTGTGACATGTTTCAGACTCTGAAAGACAGGCGACCCCTCCACGACTGGTAGACATCCATCGATCACCTCGATCACCTCCACTTACACCGCCCAAGTATGACGAGAGACCCCTCCCTATAACCCACAGGTAGAAACAGCGTTCACATTCTCGTACCATCATTTACATTTTCTTCCAGAAATGCGTTTGTCACTGTGCAGGTTAAGTGATGCGGGATAGGTAGCTGGAAGATGTTGGCCTGAACAGGCATTGTCAGTAGCTGGTAGGCTACATTTATCAAACAACCCTGACTGCATGTCTATATAAGATCCGGTCATTTGATATAGGGGAGGGATGGGATCAAGGGAGGATCACAAAATATCTGACATTCTCTTTGGGAAGGTCAGAGAAACTAATACACACATTTGGGGATGGCCATGAAGAAAATGGACATTTTATTATAAAACATCAAGTACTTTTGCATTCTGTCTTTTCAGGGAGGGTCATGTAAGAAAGGACAATGGGAGGGTCATGTAAGAAAGGACAAGGGGAGGGTCATGTAAGAAAGGACATGGGGAGGGTCATGTAAGAAAGGACATGGGGAGGGTCATGTAAGAAAGGACATGGGGAGGGTCATGTAAGAAAGGACATGGTGAGGGTCATGTAAGAAAGGACAAGGGGAGGGTCATGTAAGAAAGGACATGGTGAGGGTCATGTAAGAAAGGACAAGGGGAGGGTCATGTAAGAAAGGACAAGGGGAGGGTCATGTAAGAAAGGACATGGGGAGGGTCATGTAAGAAAGGACAAGGGGAGGGTCATGCAAGAAAGGACAGGGGGAGGGTCATGTAAGAAAGGACAAGGGGAGGGTCATGTAAGAAAGGACAAGGGGAGGGTCATGCAAGAAAGGACAGGGGGAGGGTCATGTAAGAAAGGACAAGGGGAGGGTCATGTAAGAAAGGACAAGGGGAGGGTCATGCAAGAAAGGACATGGGGAGGGTCATGTAAGAAAGGACAAGGGGAGGGTCATGTAAGAAAGGACAAGGGGAGGGTCATGCAAGAAAGGACAAGGGGAGGGTCATGTAAGAAAGGACAAGGGGAGGGTCATGTAAGAAAGGACATGGGGAGGGTCATGCAAGAAAGGACAAGGGGAGGGTCATGTAAGAAAGGACATGGGGAGGTCATGTAAGAAAGGACAAGGGGTGGGTCATGTAAGAAAGGACAAGGGGAGGGTCATGTAAGAAAGGACATGGGGAGGGTCATGTAAGAAAGGACAAGGGGAGGGTCATGTAAGAAAGGACAAGGGGAGGGTCATGTAAGAAAGGACATGGGGAGGTCATGTAAGAAAGGACAAGGGGAGGGTCATGTAAGAAAGGACATGGGGAGGGTCATGCAAGAAAGGACAAGGGGAGGGTCATGCAAGAAAGGACAAGGGGAGGGTCATGTAAGAAAGGACATGGGGAGGGTCAAGTAAGAAAGGACAAGGGGAGGTTCATGTAAGAAAGGACAAGGGTCATCCAAAAATATGACTAACATTTGGGGGAAATAATTATTTTCTGTACATTAGTGCATCAACAGCCTTCGCCCACCAACCCCTGTAATACATGATCAGTCCCTCATTTCCAGAACTGAATCATGGTCAAGTTTGATTTAGTTGGCCCTATAGGGTAAGCAGTTTTTGCTAACTTGAAACGTATTGTCAATGTTAGCAGACAGGTGGTATTAGTTTGTTTCCCAATTCACAACTGATTGTAATTGGGGTCGGATCGACAACAGGATACATCATAAAGAGAAAATGGTCATGTCAGCATTTGCTTGCTTTTTGATGATGACAGTCATCATGGCAACAGGAAATGAATAAATACAGATTAATAAATAGCGCTCTGGCAGCAGTAGAAACTAACAGTTATTGTCCTCTAGTCCTGTTATGATAACAAATAGCAAACCCCTTCAAACTGGCAAAGTGTTACAAGTCCTTACTATACCTTAATTATCAGGCAGTTTGGCAAGGACTACACGACTAATGCTAATTGCCCATGCTATATGGGTGCAGATGATGGGGAATGGATAGTTTGTTTGTGTTTAACACCGCACTCCGCCTTATCCCAGCCATATCAAGACAGCCTGTAAATAATCTTTTATTGCATTTGTCAATTATCCAAGTTTCGTATTGAATTTGTATCACAAGTTTCCTATTCAGTTGCATGTCATCTCTCCCTGTGGGGATTCCTGGGTAGAACTGGTACCCAGCAATAATAATAATGATTATAAAGTCCATTTCTTCAGCTCCATTTCCGTCTACGTAGTCTCTCATAGCGCCTCACACAGGGTCATAGACACATCTAAATAGATAAACGTTAGTTTTGTCTTGAAAGTGTCCAGAGTTGGAGATTGTCTAATTTCCACTGGAAGGGAATTCCAGAGCACAGATGCAGTGTGAGCAAAGTTCTGTTGCCGAATGCTTTGAGTGAGACCATAGGGACACTAAACTGGAGTTTATGTGCTGATCTGAGATCTCGTGCTGGCTGGTGTAGGGTTAGAAGTTCACTCAGATAGGAAGGTGCTGTACTATAGTAGCACTGGTATGCAATGCACACGACTTTGTATTCAATCCTAGATCTTATTGGAAGCCATTGTAATGATTTTAATAAAGGAGTGACATGTGCACGCTTATTTCGTCTACATATCAATCTGGCAGCAGCATTCTGCACACGTTGCAATTTGCTACATAGATCCTGTTTGATATTAATAAGCAGACTGTTAGCATAGTCCAACCTGGATAGGATAAGTGATCTCACGAGCTGATGTGCCGCATCGTATGTCAACATGGGTCAATCGATGCTTTACCTCATATTTCACCAAAATCAGAGTTAGTTTGGCGAAGTAAGGTTTTCGAATATTGCTGACATGACGATCAACTGATGGTGGCTCGTGATGGTGATAAAGATGACAATGTTTGGATTCGAGACCCCATGCAGATCTGGGTTAGAATAGGTCCACAGCAACCTGCTTGGCGTAAGAGGCGACTAACAGGATCAGGTGGTCAGGCTTGCTGACTTGGTTGATGCTTGTCATCGTATCCCAAATAATCATTGCTCACAATATCAGTCACTGGATTGTCTGGTCCAGACTTAATTACTTACAGGCCGTCGTCATATGGCTGGAATATTGCCAGGTGTAGCGTTAAGCAACAAACAAACAAACACATATTGTCTTCTGACGTAGAATATTGTTACAGTGTAGAGAGATGGATGTTTAATGTACACATGTATATTCACTCCTGAACTTGTAGTGCCCAGTCCCCAGACTGTGTATTTTGTTGCTGAATCCAGAGTAGATGATTGTTGTTAACCTGTTTCCCCTTATGGTAATGCATGGCTGGTAAGCATGCTATTGTTACTATATCAGTCAAATATATCCTTTAATATTCTCTTGAAAACATTCCTTTACTCCTTCTCACCATTTGAATGTCATATTGGAAAGCTGTGACACGTTGAGGTGACCAAATGCTTGAAATTACAATCAATAGGATTGTTTTGTCTGAATTTTATACAATGTTGAATACTGAGTTTTGAATGAAATAATGTGAATTTCAAACTTGATCTAAGTAGTATGGATATTTGTGTTGTTGATTCTGATCACAATGGTCTGATTTACATTCACAGTTTGAGCAGAATTTTGTTCCATAATTCCATTTTGCAAATTAAGCAAAAAATTTCAACATGGTGAATATACTATTCTTTCCAGCATTTTATCTTTGACCGTCCTCAGTTCAAAGACTCATTATTGAAATGATATTGTGTCCAATGGCTGTAATTTTTGCAATATGACATTCACACATACCAATAGTGGCGTATACATAACCAGAAGCAAATCTGCTCACTGCGTAGATATAGCCATAACATTGTCTGTAGTATTCTCATGCTGTTGATGAGTATTGTCACGGTCTTGTACAAGGCTTATTCTTATGGAGATCATGATGCATGTCACTAAGTGACTGCAGATGCTGTGATTATCATCCACAGTAAACTACGGTTATAATGAACTCAAAAAGACCACTAATTTTAATTCGTTCGTTCGTCCATAGTTTCTTAAAAGCATATGTACGACATCTGAAAATGGACGGCACAGTTCGTTATATCCGACAGTTCGTTATATCGGACAGTTCGTTATAAGAGTGTTCGTTATAAACATTTTATTTTATATAAATGCATCTATTTGACACCTTTGATATGCGGTAGGGGTCTCAATCATTCCAGTAGATTTGTATTGAATTGCAGTATATATATATCTGCACAAGAATAAGCCGTGTGCTAATTTAGCATCATGGAAGCTTTAGTCCACAGGTACTCATTCTTTGCTTCTTGCTTTCTTTGACCTCTGACCTTTGACCTAATTAGGCAGCCCTCCCCCAAACCTGACCTTGAACCTGACCCTGACCCTGACCCTGACTCGTCTCAGCGTCGAGCATATGATGAGCGACCCCTGCCAATCCACAAGTAAGTTGTGTGACAAGCTAGTGTACAAAGCATGCTGGGACGCTGACTTCACGAGGCTATGGCATTTGTAACATGCATGAATTTTTTCTATGACTGCATAATAACATTCTCATGATTGTCTGGTCCAGACAAGATCATTTTATAGACTGCCGTCATATAGCTGGAATATTGCTGAGTGCAGCATTAAACAACAAACAAATGAACATACTAACATCATGAAGTGTCAGTGAAGACATTTTCTGTGTGAATTATTGACAATGCATGTGTGTGTTTTTTTTATCAGAATCATACAAGAGTTAGTTTGTTTTATTCCCCAGCAGGGATTCATGGCTGGAGAAAAGAGCTCAGATCATCTAAGGCCTCGGGATTCACTGTGCAGTTGCATCCCTCAGACATACTATAAACCTATGATTGTGGGTTCAAATCCCGATTCACCCTGATTATGTTTCTAGGTTTGTCAGTTCCATACACATGCTCAGGGATTTCACCAAAGTGGTCTGGAAGCTGACACGCCGTGACATAGCTGGAATAATGTTCAAAGCGGCATCGATCCCAACTCACTTGATGTAATGGATCATTTCTCAACGCCATGGTCTTTGTTACTGTGATACCTATCTCACCACTTTTAAATCCATTAAACAGGGTACAAACTTGTTTTGAGTAAAGACTCGCATTTTGGGGGAAAAGATTGTTGTCGGAAAATTGTGATTGTTGTCTCAATATGAAAATAAATCTTATTAGACTGTGTCTGTGGACCTGTTGGCGGGAACCAATTTCACACCCTGTTACATAAGACTTGCCCAGTGGCTCCAGCGATATGCAGTGGTCAGCTTGGGTATACTTCTGTATTACAATTGTGGCCATGGTACATTTCTGAGCACAGACTAGTGCCTGGTGTATATATCTGTAGAACCCTACAGGAAGACAATTTGACACCTTCAGTCTTACTTACTAGCGAACTCAGCAGTAACATTGTTGAATTTCATAGTGAAAAACACTATTTAGGGGCCTACCTTTTAATATTTTGGGGATGGCCTGGGGTTTTATCAACAACAAAAAATTGTCCTCGAAAAGTCTTGAACAAACAAATTATACTTCATATTGTTGAAAAATAAATAAACTGTCTGCCACAAAAATAATATTGTTGCAATGAATTTTTTGGCTCATAGTTTTAATTTTATAAATGTCTGGTTTTGCAGCTGCAGCTGAAAATATAACTGGTCTCAGTACAAATTCCCAGGCCCCACCCCCCAAATATTAAATGGTCGGTCCCTTACTCAATCTGTAACTTTATAGTATTGTGAAGAACTTTAGTCTCATACTTTGCACTTGCTTCCTGCTATCATTTGCATGACATATATAGTGTTGCACCTGTGTGTTCTGCACTTTTCACAACTTTATACCCCATACTGAAAGAATACTTGAAGAATTGTGGATTGTCTGTAACATATTTCAAAATTGACTTATAATCCGTAATTCAAGTTTCAGAAAATGTGTTTTTATGATCTTAAATTAGCTCGGTCAGTCTGTGACATCCTGAACAATTTGTGACATTGTCAATAATTTTTTTCTATGCATTGATATGACGTCACATTGCTAAGGTCTGCCAAGCAAATAACAAAAAATTGGAGAGTTTGCGTGAACAAGCCTATCAGCATGAATCATGATTGAAGATTGTAAGTTAGAATTACTGACATGACTTCACCTGTCTCTGTGCCCTGGTGGAGATTATTCCACAATTTTCCAGTATTCTCCACATGAATATATTATATATATATACATGATTATGGTAATCCTGAAATATGTTTGCAGTGTTGTGAGAAATATATGTGTTTCCAACTGTGTCCCTCCTTCTATTCCTACGCTCAACATGCTGACTAGAACAGAGGTGATAAAACGTATACTGGCTAGAACAGTGGTGATAAAATGTGTACTGACTAGAATAGAGGTGATAAAAAGTATACTGACTGGAACAGAGGTGATAAAACGTATACTGGCTAGAACAGTGGTGATAAAATGTGTACTGACTAGAATAGAGGTGATAAAAAGTATACTGGCTGGAACAGAGGTGATAAAAAGTATACTGACTGGAACAGAGGTGATAAAAAGTATACTGACTGGAATAGAGGTGATAAAAAGTATACTGACTAGAATAGAGGTGATAACAAGTATACTGACTGGAACAGTGGTGATAAAAAGTGTACTGACTAGAATAGAGGTGATAAAAAGTATACTGACTAGAATAGAGGTGATAACAAGTATACTAACTGGAACAGTGGTGATAAAAAGTGTACTGACTGGAACAGTGGTGGTAAGTGGTGCATGCTTCTTCAAGACAAATACAAACTGATTGAAAAAGGAATATTCATATATTCATTGATTCTTTTTTTAAAAAGAAGAAAAGAATCTTATTTGTTTGAACGTGGCAAATTGTTGTTAGAAATCTCTAATGTACTCTTTGTCATGAAGTAATTTGATAAATTGTCTGTGTGCAATGTATCAATATTCTTTGCTTTAGATGGCATTTTATCATTATTTCGAGGTTCTTTAGAGAACTTGTTGGTTAAAGTGTTGGCTTGTCACACCAAAGACCAGGTTTGATTCCCCACAAGGGTATGTAGTATAAAGCCCATTTCTGGTGTCTCCCACCATGATATGACTGGACTAAAATCACTCACTCACTCACCATTCTAGTCATCTTAGGTGCCACAATTTGCTGTGCAGAGTTGCATCCCTTTGGACATCAGGAACCTATGATTGTGGGTTCAAATCCTGGTTTGCCCCAATTATGTTTCTAGGTTTGTCAGCACCATAACTGTGGGTTTTACCGAAGTGGTAAACGTCTGAGACCTGTATCACTTTGGGCTTTCCTCCCACATCAAGCTGACATGCTGTCATATAGCTGGAATAATGTTCAAAGCAGCATTAAACCCAAAACATTCACTCACTCACTCACTCACTAAAGTCCAAATGAACTAGGAGAGAGTATGTGAGAGTATGTCCTCATTTTCAGACCTCCTCCAGTAGTGGAAGAAGAAATAGAGCCAGAGCCAGAAATGGCAGCAGGTGAGAATTGTTTTCACAGCAGAAAGACTTCATGTTGTTGGTGATAGGGGTTTGGGGGTGAACGTTAGGTCCAGAACAGTGTCAGCAGACAAACACTGGTTGACCAGGCTCCCCCTGATTGGAACATGGCTGACTGATAACTGCATTCACTCACTCATACAGTGTGGATCAATGCATACCCTGTATCGCTCTAGTGAGCCTGGAACATGGCTGACTGACAACAGCATTCTCTCACTCATACAGTGTGGATCCATACTTACACTGTATTGCTGTGGTGAGCCTGGAACATGGCTGACTGACAACAGCATTCACTCACTCATACAGTGTGGATCCATACTTACCCTGTATCGCTCTAGTGAGCCTGGAACATGGCTGACTGATAACAGCATTCACTCACTCATACAGTGTGGATCCATACTTACCCTGTATCGCTCTAGTGAGCCTGGAACATGGCTGACTGACAACAGCATTCTCTCACTCATACAGTGTGGATCCATACTTACACTGTATCGCTGTGGTGTGCCTGGAACATAGCTGACTGGCAACAGCATTCACTCACTCATACAGTGTGGATCCATACTTACCCTGTATCGCTGTGGTGTGCCTGGAACATGGCTGACTGTGACAACAGCATTTACTCACTCATACAGTGTGGATCCATACTTACACTGTATCGCTGTGGTGAGCCTGGAACATGGCTAACTGTGACAACAGCATTCACTCACTCATACAGTGTGGATCCATACTTACCCTGTATCGCTGTAGTTAGCCTGGAACATAGCTGACTGGCAACAGCCTTCACTCACTCATACAGTGTGGATCCATACTTACACTGTATCGCTGTTGTGAGCCTGGAACATGGCTAACTGTGACAACGGCATTCACTCACTCATACAGTGTGGATCAATACTTACACTGTATCGCTGTGGTGGCTTGGAACATGGCTGAACAGCAACAGCATTCACTCACTCATACAGTGTGGATCCATACTTACACTGTATCGCTGTGGTGTGCCTGGAACATGGCTGACTGGCAACAGCATTCAATCACTCATACAGTGTGGATCCATACTTACCCTGTATCGCTGTAGTTAGCCTGGAACATAGCTGACTGGCAACAGCCTTCACTCACTCATACAGTGTGGATCAATACTTACGCTGTATCGCTGTTGTGAGCCTGGAACAAGGCTAACTGTGACAACGGCATTCACTCACTCATACAGTGTGGATCCATACTTACACTGTATCGCTGTGGTGGCTTGGAACATGGCTGAGCAGCAACAGCATTCACTCACTCATACAGTGTGGATCCATACTTACACTGTATCGCTGTGGTGTGCCTGGAACATGGCTGACTGGCAACAGCATTCACTCACTCATACAGTGTGGATCCATACTTACACTGTATCGCTGTGGTGTGCCTGGAACATGGCTGACTGGCAACAGTATTCACTCACTCATACAGTGTGGATCCATACTTACCCTGTATCGCTGTGGTGTGCCTGGAACATGGCTGACCGGCAACAGCATTCTCTCACTCATACAGTGTGGATCCATACTTACACTGTATCGCTGTGGTGAGCCTGGAACATGGCTGAACAGCAACAGCATTCTCTCACTCATACAGTGTGGATCCATACTTACCCTGTATCGCTGTGGTGTGCCTGGAACATGGCTGACCGGCAACAGCATTCACTCACTCATACAGTGTGGATCCATACTTACCCTGTATCGCTGTAGTTAGCCTGGAACATAGCTGACTGGCAACAGTATTCACTCATTCATACAGTGTGGATCAATACTTACACTGTATCGCTGTGGTGAGCCTGGAACATGGCTGACTGGCAACAGCATTCACTCACTCATACAGTGTGGATCCATACTAACACTGAATTGCTGTGGTGAGCCTGGAGCATGGCTGACTGTGACAACAGCATTCACTCACTCATACAGTGTGGATCCATACTTACACTGTATCGCTGTGGTGTGCCTGGAACATGGCTGAACAGCAACAGCATTCTCTCACTCATACAGTGTGGATCCATACTTACCCTGTATCGCTGTAGTTAGCCTGGAACATAGCTGACTGTGACAACAGCATTCACTCACTCATACAGTGTGGATCAATACTTACACTGTATCGCTGTGGTGAGCCTGGAACATGGCTGACTGGCAACAGCATTCACTCACTCATACAGTGTGGATCCATACTTACACTGTATCGCTGTGGTGAGCCTGGAACATGGCTGACTGGCAACAGCATTCACTCACTCATACAGTGTGGATCCATACTTACACTGTATCGCTGTGGTGTGCCTGGAACATGGCTGACTGGCAACAGCCTTCACTCACTCATACAGTGTGGATCAATACTTACACTGTATCGCTGTGGTGTGCCTGGAACATGGCTGACTGGCAACAGTATTCACTCACTCATACAGTGTGGATCCATACTTACACTGTATCGCTGTGGTGTGCCTGGAACATAGCTGACTGGCAACAGCATTCACTCACTCATACAGTGTGGATCAATACTTACCCTGTATGGTGGTGAGCCTGGAACATGGCCGAATAAGGGTGAATGATTACGATGTGTCAGTTCCTGTTTTTACCCTGTGTACGTTTTTGTTCCAGGAGAGCCGGAACCCATGACAGAGAAAGATATCCGAGATGCATCATCTGCTATTGATGTGTTCGGACACCCACTTGTAAGTGATGCTTGTGGATTCTTTGAGAGCTGATTATAGCTGGATGAATTGTGGATGAATGGCTGGATGTGTATTGCAATATAGATATCTGCATTGCGATACCTATTGCGAGACAGTGTCTGACAGTGATTGACACTGATTATACATGCAGATCCTATTTTCTACAAACTAAAGTAAATATCACTTCCATTTTGTCGTTTTGTTAATCAATTTTGAATGGAAACACCACTTGTTAATCAATCTCTGTGGACATTTGAGTTTAAATGATACAAATAATAATCCAGCTTGTTATATAATTTTACCTGTTATACCAGAAAACAGGAAAAAATTGCAATACGGACCATTTGGTAGGTATACCGCTGTATCCCGGTAATGCCTGCAGCCCTGTTGGTTACTGGATGATGTTGGGTGGATGCATGATGCTGATGTTGATACAGGATAAATGACGGTGATTGTCGTGATGTTGCTGATCATCTTCATCATAAGCATGATAAGAGGACTTTATCACCAGGTATCGAAAGCTTATTCCAAGACATGGTCGTACCGAGAAGACTCCCTGTTGGCTGTGTACAAACAGACGCAGGCCTTGCCTTCCTCCACGCCAAAGGAGGATGCCAAGGCCATGATGAGGGCAGCTATTTTCCTCGCCAAAAGAGCGATCGATGACAAAGTTTATGCAGTATGTATTCCAACAGATCTTATGTTGGTCATTTTGGTGCCAGTTTTAGTTTTATTTGTTTTCTATTCATCACTATTCACTAAAAAATATTAAAATATTCTAGAAAGAAAGTACTGATGAACCAAAATGATCCTCTACATCTAATATTGATTCATCATGCAATGGCCTGACTGTGAATGTGAAGTTATTTTTGGGGGAGGTTCACATTTTAGTAAACCTACACCTACCCCTGGACCCAGGGTTTTCGCGATCTTAAATTACCTGCCCTTGATTTCCTTTAGCTAATTTGATTGGCTACGCTACTAGGTCTAACTTACCAATCAGAATGTGAGTTACAAACAAGCCTCAACATTGCGTTGGCGATATCAACAACACAGCGTCCAGTCCCACTGGTTACTGCAGAGTTTGAGGAAAATCCAACGTTGAAAAACTGACTGACAAGCAAAAAAAAGCATTCAAAAATCTTTTGGATGGGAAGGATGTCTTTGTGTTCATAAAAACTGACAGAGGCTTTGGTTTCTCAGCAATATGAATTACCTCCCTTACTCATTTTCCTTTTTCTCCATTTCCGACATGGGTACAATATGTAAAGCCCATTTCTGGTGTCCCCCGACGTGATATTGCTGGAATATTGCTAAAAGCAGCATAAAACCATACTCACTCACTCTCATTTTCCTTTTTCCTTATTTCGTTGTTTGTTTGGTCTGTAAAATGTTAGACCCCCTCCGTGGTCCAGTGGTAGAGTGTCTGCCTGGAGAGCGGAAGGTCTGAGGTTCGATCACCGGCCGCATCATACCTAAATACATTAAATGATGGTACTTGTTGTTACCCGGTCTAGCGTTCGGCATTAAGGGGCTAAAACAAGGACTGGTCGGCTCGGAGTCAGTATACTGTGTCTGAGTGGGGTATTCATGTTAAACTGCGGCATGGTATCTCATTGAGCTAGCACTATAAATCGGCATCAGTCCGGACTAGTATAAGCAGCTACACAAACACACACACGTACATGCACGTCGCTACATAAGTGCAATAATCTTGGATGCGACGTTAAACCCCATTTCACCTCACCTCACCTCAGTGGGCTAGCACTATAAATCGGCATCAGTCCGGACTAGTACAAGCAGCTACACAAACACACACACGTACATGCACGTCGCTACATAAGTGCAATAATCTTGGATGCGACGTTAAACCCCATTTCACCTCACCTCACCTCAGTGGGCTAGCACTATAAATCGGCATCAGTCCGGACTAGTACAAGCAGCTACACAAACACTCACACGTACATACACGTCGCTACATAAGTGCAATAATCTTAGATGCGATGTTAAACCCCATTTAGCCCAACACTGTAAAATGTTAATGAAAATCAAGGGCAGGTAATTTAAGATTGTGGGTCCCGGGGTCAGTGTAGGTTAACCAAAATGCAAGCCCCGGAGATGGGAAGGCCCTTGAATGTAATGATTGAATGTCCCAGGAGTGATGTTCCAGAAGTAAAGGATGAAGAACAGCATAACGTTGGTAGAAAATTAATTGTAGAAATTTTTCATGTGAAGTATGAAATATGGAGACAAATATTTTTACCCACAACTGTTTTAGACAGTGGACTTGCCAACTTTATACATCATATGGATCTGGTTTGTCTTTCTAGGTATTCAAGGCAGCTCTGCAGTTGGAGAAAATGATCTTAACAGACTATGTGCCAAAACACAAGTAAGTCACACAAATGTCTAGTCAAGGTACATGGTACATGGATGTGCAAAAAGAAACCGGTATGGTTGATTTTATTGTCAGAATACATACATGAAAAGGTAGGACTTAACAAAACTCTATGTGCCCAAGTAATCATTAACAGGTTTTTAAGGAAATATGTGTTCGGGGGTGGCATGGTGTTTTTGGTTTCAGCAGGGTCTGTGAGTCGCTGAAGTGTAGATGAATTTGCTAGTCTATCAATTACTTGATAATGTGGTTTGGCAGGGAATATGATGGCAGGAGTACTTCTGTGGTGTTACTTTTTTATAAAAGCGGCAGGAGCTACTGGTAGGCAGACATGCTTATCCTTTTTGCAAACACCTTGTGCATCACTCATTTTCAGTGATCCATTCATATAATTTTCACTGCTATTATGCCCATTGGAATCTGTTTCGGCGGATAATCAAGACTGGTTATTTTCTTTCATTGACGTTTTATATTTACCAGATATAAGTGGTCACAATTTATTTTGACCCATTGTCATGTTTCATGTCACCGCTAATATATGTGTAATGTTTCAGAATACCTCGTCAGGAGACGATTTCTGCCGTAGAGAAGACGATCCCCAATCTCCTGCACAAATCAGGGGACACTGTAAGTTGCCTCTCTTGATCTGCATGTGATCATGACTTTGTGGACCTGTTGCTTGTTTTCAGTAGAAGGGAATATGAAGAGTGACATCTGGAGGAGTTTGTCAGTCGGAGAGTTTTATTTCCACTGTTTTGATTCCCTCTTGTCCAGGTATATGAAAAATTGACTGAAGCGGGTTTTTTATCAAAGTTTAATCGAAATCAGAGTTAGTTCGGCTAATTTTTTAACTTATCCTGCATTACTCCGTATTGCATTTACTGCTATGTTTGACAGAGAGACGAACTGTGTGAGATCCAGCTGCTGAAGAAAGTTGTCCCAACCAGCCCAGGAGGCAGCGCCCTCTCACAGTCGGCACGTGACCCGGAAGTCATGACGTCACACAAAAAGACATAACTGCTTTGTCACCTCCACGGACGGACGTACTTTGTATCCCTTGTGGAAATTAAAGCTTATTATTTGTTTTTTATATTTTGCGTGTTTCTACATTCATTATATGCTGCTACATTGTTACCTGATATGGGCCGTGACCTTAGGGTCTTCCCATTCGTAAATTGTAACGTTTATCGCTCGTCTGTGGCTCACGTCACAGTAATTTACGGGCGCAATGTTGTTCCCGCCATTTTGTTTTCTTTCCCGCCATTTTGGCCATTCACCACGTGGCCACGTAATGTCGTGTTCTGCGTTTTGAATTCTCTCTTTGGCTTGGGTAATACATTACATTTATGTATGTTGTTTTGGTGTGCTTGAAGCCTTGCCTTTTCGCTACCTCTCAGCGTAATTGTTTCTTCTCATAAACTTCAATATAATACGAAGTTTATGAGTTACATTATGTCTCCCGTACTCTGTGGTTTTGCCACATGGTTACGTGTTTGCTTAAGGCTTTGCCTTTTCGCTCCCTTTTAGCGTACTTGTTTATCTCATAAACTTTAATAAAATATACTGTTTTTGAGTTACTTTATGCTTCCCATACTTTGTGATTGGCCACACATTATGCTTCCCGCACTTTGTGGCTTTGCCACATAGTTATGTTTTGCTTAAATTCCAGATTTTCTGCCTCGCTGCACTTGTTTCCGCGGGAACAAATCTGGTCGGGGCCGCCCCTTTCTGCCGTGATTGTACGACGCCCTGTACTTTCACAAGGCAGTGCCGATGTTGCAGTCATTCGTAGCTGTGATCCTTCAGCTCATGCGAGTATCCAGGACACACCTCGCTCAACGTGCTCGTCGACCCCCACCTACGTTGACGGCAGCAGCGCTCAGCGGAGCTTCACGGCGGCTCCCAACGTAGAGTCTGCCTCCCATGGCACGACATACGACCGTTCACGGTCTCCTACTCCACTGGCGGCTCCAGCGCTCCCAACGTAGAGTCTGCCTCCCATGGCACGACATACGACCGTTCACGGTCTCCTACTCCACTGGCGGCTCCAGCGCTCCCAACGTAGAGTCTGCCTCCCCTGGCACGACATACGACCGTTCACGGTCTCCTACTCCACCGGCGGCTCCAGCGCTCCCAACGTAGAGTCTGCCTCCCCTGGCACGACATACGACCGTTCACGGTCTCCAACACCGTCAACGCTGATGTCTCCGGCGCCCCCGGCGCCTCCGATGACTCGGCGCCTCTGATGACACGGCGCTCCCGGCGCTCCCGGCGCCTCTGATGACACGGCGCTCCCGGCGCCTCTGATGACACGGCGCTCCCGGCGCCTCCGGCGCCTCTGATGACGCGGCGCCTCTGATGACACGGCGCTCATGGCGCCCACGGCGCCTCTGATGACGCGGCGCCTCCGGCGCTCCCGGCGCCTCTGATGACACGGCGCTCCCGGCGCCTCAGGCGCCTCTGATGACGCGGCGCCTCCGGCACCTCTGATGACACGGCGCTCCCGGCGCCTCCGGCGCCTCCGATGTCTCGGCGCTCCCGGCGCCTCTGATGACACGGCGCCTCCGGCGCCTCTGATGACTCGGCGCTCAACAAGCTTCATGACTTGTTCATGACAAGCTGTTGACTCGGCGCCTCCGATGACTCGGCGCCACCGGCGCCGCTGATGTCTCCGCGCTCCGGCGCCTCCGCATCCTCTGATGTCTTCGGCGCTCAACAAGCTTCAGATCAACAAGCTTTATCAAGCTCAGATCAACGAGCCGACCATCCGATCTTCTACTGCGGCTTAAGGGGCATCATCGGCAATCGCCTCCCCGGCGCCACTGCCCTCTTCTCTTGCTGCCGTCTCATAACTCGTCACACGGAGAAGCATGGTGAAACAACTGTCGCCGCTCCTTTCGCTACTCTCCCGTCGGTCTTCGGGATCGTAAATATCGTTCTACTTCCTGGGTGGAATCATTTCAACCAATAGACAGTTGGTCTGATTCAACTTGCCCACTGAGACGTTATCCATAATCCCGTCGTTTAAAGCGCTATGATTCCGGAGAGATGACCTGCGGGTTTCCATCGAAACAGAGCGTCATGTGAACAGCGTCTGTATCAGATTCGACGACGACATCCACTTACAAAGAGTTTACTTCGTCGACATCGCAGACATCAACGCTGTTCTACCCTACCCTAGCGCCAGCGTTCCTGAGAGAGACTCTTCCTCGGCGCTCCCCGGGTTTTGCACGACGCCCATGGGGTTCCGTGTTTTATCGCAAAACTCGGGTACACCACTTTATCGTCTCTCACACAGTTCATTGAGGATTGTCTGTGTGTGGAGTTTGCACCTCAGTTCCGACTCCAAGGCGGTTTTCTCGGCTACTGCGCAGAGTGATTTACATGTCACGTGTCAAGTACTCGGACTGTCAACAACTCCGACCGGATTTAGGTCAACTTACCATGGCAAGGGGTGCCATGTATTTCTACAGATTGGTTTCCATGTCTACCTGTACGCTTGGTGATACCACTCAACCAGGCGCCTGTCGCAGTCCATCCATGCACGGATGTTGGAAACAATAGACCTCCTCTACCAACACGGCTGTCACGAGGAACCTTGTTTCATCAACCCTTCGCTATAAGAACGATAGCGCCTATAGGCGTTCAAGGGATGGAAGAGATCGCCTTCCTTCGTCCGGTTTGATCTTTTCGACTACGACACCTTCCTATCTTCCGCCTTGACTACCGGACACAGTGTCGATTTGATACTTAAAGTCCCTCGGCCGTCCCACTGACCCCTGTTGCATACCTGCCTCGTATCGTGTTGTCGTCCTCCATCGTCACCTCGATATAAGAACAGGAGTACTTATACGCCGCTTCAGGGATGAAAACGATCTCATTACTTCGTGCAATGGCCATATTGCCTCGACTTCCTACTACCCGGTTACGTCGATGCCCCGGCGGTCGATTGTGAAGCTGGTTTACTTCGTCTACTTGAGGTTGGCTCGCAGGCGATCACACCTTTTTCCGAATCGTACCGACGGTACGCAATCGCAGACCCCTGTTGCTGACTACCTCCCCTGCCACCTTGTCAGTGGCTAGTGGCCCACGCCAGCCCACATTGTGACCACCTGTGATCCAGAGATCAACACCATTGGCACAGCAACAGCCTCGAGATAAATGCTTATCCAGGACGGCACTTGCTGACAGTGCATTCTCGGTCACGCCCTGTTGATCGTGTCCACTGACGACGTCACCGTAGTGTGGTGTTTGCGGACCCAGAGTTCTCGCCCCCCTCCCGGCGCCACAAACTCGACCGGCGCACCCGAGAATCACCATCTTCGGCGTTCCAGGCGCCTCAAGCTCTCCGACGCCTCACGCTCTCCGGCGCCTCGGGCCAGACTATGTGAAACGGTCGACACCCCAACCCTAGATCTGTTTGCCTCATATCTGAATGTGGCCAGCTGTCGTCTTCCATTCCACCTGTGCCGGATACGACCGCTGTGGCAGTCGAAGCCTTCCATCGTTCCTGAGAAGGATTACGCGCGTACGCTTTTCCGACTCCGGTTCTCCCTCCCACGGTTCTTCAGAGATCCAGGCCACTCGACCCCTGCCATTGACTTTGGTCTCGCCTTATTGGTCAGCCAGAAGTTGGGTTATCGACCTCCGAAACATAGCCAGAGACAACCCCTGGAACTTCCGGTGTGGTCCAACCTTCTGCTCCATCCACACGGTCTGTTAGAATGAGAAGCCACACCCTCATACCCGCATGTTATCGTCTGCACGCCTGACACACATGCAGAAAGCCAAGGGCTATTCGGCTAGAGCGACCAAGGCTATTGCTTCAGCCCACCGTCCATCTACAGGGGGACTGTATGCTGATAAATGATGCTTGTTCCAGGCATTTTGTTCTGACAAACACCAGGATCCGATGACAGCGTCACCGCAGATCCTGGATCAGTTCCTTCTGTACTTGTGTAGCACCCATCGGTTGAAGGGCTTACCACCCCCACATACCTGGTCGCCATCTACTCCGTTCTGGCCATCCCGGACGATCGGAGAAAGACGAAAATTCCCGACCTACGGGCCTGGCTGCGCTCGTTCAGTCTTGAAGACCTGAAGACCAAGTTTGGACCGCCTGCGTTGGATCTGAATGTGGTCTTCAACGCCCTTCGAACCACTCCCCTCGTCTTCCTTCTACGACCTTAAGTAGAAGACGGGTGTTTCTACTGGTTTTGACTACTGCCGCTCGAGTCCATGTACAGCACGCCCTCGACGTCTCCCATGCCCGGTTCGAATGCGGTACCCAGGGCGCCGTTCATCATGGACCGTACTGGGACGTCAGCGTAAAGACTCAACTCCCAGGACAGCCTGATTGATCATTCCTTGTCCCCTCCCCCCTCGTCCAGTGCGGGTGCCGAGGATGAGGATGAGCGTCATTATGCCCAGTAAGGGCACTGAAGGTTATTCTACGATCTAAAGACTGCCGCAAGTCTAGGAAACACCTTTTTCTGCCGGTCTCCCCTTCGTCGCTGTCGTTGGTCAGCCGGAATACTTTTCCCTGTGGCTCCGGGCGGTCATCCTTAAAGCGTATGAGCCGCCGGATTGGACCCTCCCCCCAAAGGCTATTACCTGAAATAAAATGAGATCAGGGCGATCGTATTTACACTGGTTCTTCACGGTATACTGTTCCATCCCGTCGTTCAGGGAAGCCTGTTCGTGGCGATCGGACACCGCCTTCACCAACCACTACTTCCGTGATGTAGCCTTGAAAGTTGTCGCCGGCGTTCACAGTTTTGGTCCCTGGTTGTAGCCCAACAGGTCATCTATCTCCGACGCCACTGATTCTCCGATACCCTGAGCGGGGCCCGTCGACCTCTCTGGTGTTTATCACCCCAGACGAGACGGCTCTCTTGCGTTCCGCATTCGCTCTTAGGTCAGTTTTAGTTTTGGGTTACCCGACTCATTCTATTGCTGTCACCTATCCGGGTTTTACTTTTTGCATCAACTCTCGTTTCCTGACGACAGGAATGGTAGTAGATGTGGACACCGGCGCCGACGCCAACGCCGCTGCTTCTCTGGTACCTGGGCGGTGCCCGTCGACCTCACCGGTGTTCCTTGCCTCCAGCCTAGAGGGCTCTCCTGCGTTTCGCATTCGCTCTTGGGATTGGTCGTAGATTTTGCCGCCGACGCCGCTGATTCTTCGATTCCCCGAGCGGGGCCCGTCGAACTCTCTGGTGTTTATCACCTCAGATTAGCTCTAGGTTCTACTGCGTTTCGCTTTCGCTCTTCGGTAAGTTATATATTTTGGCTACACGCCTCATTGTATTTCGGTTACCTATTCGGGCGTTTCGTTTTTGCATCGACTCTTGTTTCCTGAAGACAGGAATGGTCGTAGATGTTCCGGTCATCACTTGTATGCGGTGCGGATTCATCGGACCTTGACGAGGGTTTAATATGGTTCACATCTGAAAGTATGCCCACCGGCCAAGCCGTCTGATAAAGATGCAATACGGAGTAATGCAGGATAAGTTAAAAAATTTAGTAAAATCTAAATATTTTTTACATTTGTATACTTATCCTGCATTACGAAGTCTAAGTGCCCTCCCTTTCGCTACGCTACCTCCCCACGAAGTTTCAGATGTTATGTTTAAAGCAGTTATGTCTTTTTGTGTGACGTCATGACTTCCGGGTCACGTGCCGACTGTGAGAGGGCGCTGCCTCCTGGGCTGGTTGGGACAACTTTCTTCAGCAGCTGGATCTCACACAGTTCGTCTCTCTGTCAAACATAGCAGTAAATGCAATACGGAGTAATGCAGGATAAGTATACAAATGTAAAAAATATTTAGATTTTACTAATTTTTTATTTTTGAATATATTGCTGACATGGCAGTGATCTGATGATGGCTAGTGATGGTAATAAAGATGATGATGTTTTGATTCGAGACCCCATGTAGGGTAAGCCCCCAGTAACCTATACTTGGCATGAGAGACGACCTTATGGATTTGGGGGTAAGCCTTGGTGAATTCGAAAATGTATGTCAGCCCTGACTGTACGTATTGTTGCTCTGGATATCAATCACTGTTTTGTCAAGATCAGCCATCATAGAGTTAAATAAGTGCGGAGTTCTACATACATTGTTTAATAATAGCACTTCACTGCAGTATATAAGCATGTCAGGTATTGGTAAGGATATGACTGAAATACTCTCTTACTGGTGTTATTTATGAAACCGCCTCCTTGGTGTAGTCCCCTGCCATGATATTGCTTGTCTATTGCTAAAAGCGGCGTAAAACCCTACTCACTGTATTAATGGAAGATGGAACAAGTACTCCACTGTAAGTTTCTGTCCTTTTCAGGCTGTACGGAACCGAGATGACACCAAGAAGTTCATCCAAGATTTATCCAACTTCCCTGAAGTTAGGGTACGTCATTTTTTCATAATTCCCACAAAGCCAGGAGGGATTAACCTGGGTGTATCTCTTTCCATGTCCGGGGCACTCTCAGTAATAACTTTCAGGGTTCTTAGGCATGAACATTGAGCTAGTGACATGCTCCACATGACCCCAGAAGCCTTGAGCTTATAAATAAAGGGGATTTCAATATTACATTAGGGAGAACCATTTGCACTCTTAACTTGAGTGTAGTCTATACCATTGATTTCTTTATGATTCAAACAGCCCAATACCCCAAGATTTGGAATGTCAATTATTTGCAGCAATACATAATGATCCAAGCCTGAAATCCACAGGGTCTGGAAGATGTTCAAGATTTAAGGGTCTTTAGTTAAGAATACAATGAGTTTCTAGCTTGTGTCTCTAACTCCTGTAAAATATGATGAGTTGTATATTTTAGTTGGATCAGGTAGTGAGGCTGAGTGACTTGGTGTGTGTGTCAGCTACATGGATCAGGTGGTGAGGCTGAGTGACTTGGTGTGTGTGTCAGCTACATGGATCAGATGGTGAGGCTGAGTGACTTGGTGTGTGTGTCAGCTACATGGATCAGGTGGTGAGGCTGAGTGACATGGTGTGTGTGTCAGCTACATGGATCAGGTGGTGAGACTGAGTGACTTGGTGTGTGTGTCAGCTACATGGATCAGGTGGTGAGACTGAATGACATGGTGTGTGTGTCAGCTACATGGATCAGGTGGTGAGGCTGAGTGACTTGGTGTGTGTGTCAGCTACATGGATCAGGTGGTGAAGCTGAGTGACTTGGTGTGTGTGTCAGCTACATGGATCAGGTGGTGAGGCTGAGTGACTTGGTGTGTGTGTCAGCTACATGGATCAGGTGGTGAGGCTGAGTGACTTGGTGTGTGTGTCAGCTACATGGATCAGGTGGTGAGGCTGAGTGACTTGGTGTGTGTGTCAGCTACATGGATCAGGTGGTAAGGCTGAGTGACTTGGTGTGTGTGTCAGCTACATGGATCAGGTGGTGAGGCTGAGTGACATGGTGTGTGTGTCAGCTACATGGATCAGGTGGTGAGACTGAGTGACTTGGTGTGTGTGTCAGCTACATGGATCAGGTGGTGAGACTGAGTGACTTGGTGTGTGTGTCAGCTACATGGATCAGGTGGTGAGGCTGAGTGACATGGTGTGTGTGTCAGCTACATGGATCAGGTGGTGAGACTGAGTGACTTGGTGTGTGTGTCAGCTACATGGATCAGGTGGTGAGACTGAGTGACATGGTGTGTGTGTCAGCTACATGGATCAGGTGGTGAGGCTGAGTGACTTGGTGTGTGTGTCAGCTACATGGATCAGGTGGTCAGGCTGAGTGACTTGGTGTGTATGTCAGCTACATGGATCAGGTGGTGAGACTGAATGACATGGTGTGTGTGTCAGCTACATGGATCAGGTGGTGAAGCTGAGTGACTTGGTGTGTGTGTCAGCTACATGGATCAGGTGGTGAGGCTGAGTGACTTGGTGTGTGTGTGTGTCAGCTACATGGATCAGGTGGTGAGGCTGAGTGACATGGTGTGTGTGTCAGCTACATGGATCAGGTGGTCAGGCTGAGTGACTTGGTGTGTATGTCAGCTACATGGATCAGGTGGTGAGACTGAATGACATGGTGTGTGTGTCAGCTACATGGATCAGGTGGTGAAGCTGAGTGACTTGGTGTGTGTGTCAGCTACATGGATCAGGTGGTGAGGCTGAGTGACTTGGTGTGTGTGTCAGCTACATGGATCAGGTGGTAAGACTGAGTGACTTGGTGTGTGTGTCAGCTACATGGATCAGGTGGTAAGACTGAGTGACTTGGTGTGTGTGTCAGCTACATGGATCAGGTGGTGAGGCTGAGTGACTTGGTGTTTGTGTCAGCTACATGGATCAGGTGGTGAGGCTGAGTGACTTGGTGTGTGTGTCAGCTACATGGATCAGGTGGTGAGACTGAGTGACTTGGTGTGTGTGTCAGCTACATGGATCAGGTGGCGAGGCTGAGTGACTTGGTGTGTGTGTCAGCTACATGGATCAGGTGGTGAGACTGAGTGACTTGGTGTGTGTGTCAGCTACATGGATCAGGTGGTGAGACTGAGTGACTTGGTGTGTGTGTCAGCTACATGGATCAGGTGGTGAGACTGAGTGACTTGGTGTGTGTGTCAGCTACATGGATCAGGTGGTGAGGCTGAGTGACTTGGTGTGTGTGTCAGCTACATGGATCAGGTGGTGAGACTGAGTGACTTGGTGTGTGTGTCAGCTACATGGATCAGGTGGTGAGACTGAGTGACTTGGTGTGTGTGTCAGCTACATGGATCAGGTGGTGAGACTGAGTGACTTGGTGTGTGTGTCAGCTACATGGATCAGGTGGTGAGACTGAGTGACTTGGTGTGTGTGTCAGCTACATGGATCAGGTGGTAAGGCAGAGTGACTTGGTGTGTGTGTCAGCTACATGGATCAGGTGGTGAGACTGAGTGACTTGGTGTGTGTGTCAGCTACATGGATCAGGTGGTGAGACTGAGTGACTTGGTGTGTGTGTCAGCTACATGGATCAGGTGGTGAGACTGAGTGACTTGGTGTGTGTGTCAGCTACATGGATCAGGTGGTGAGGCTGAGTGACTTGGTGTGTGTGTCAGCTACATGGATCAGGTGGTGAGACTGAGTGACTTGGTGTGTGTGTCAGCTACATGGATCAGGTGGTGAGACTGAGTGACTTGGTGTGTGTGTCAGCTACATGGATCAGGTGGTGAGACTGAGTGACTTGGTGTGTGTGTCAGCTACATGGATCAGGTGGTGAGACTGAGTGACTTGGTGTGTGTGTCAGCTACATGGATCAGGTGGTAAGGCAGAGTGACTTGGTGTGTGTGTCAGCTACATGGATCAGGTGGTAAGGCAGAGTGACTTGGTGTGTGTGTCAGCTACATGGATCAGGTGGTGAGGCTGAGTGACTTGGTGTGTGTGTCAGCTACATGGATCAGGTAGTGAGACTGAGTGACTTGGTGTTTGTGTCAGCTACATGGATCAGGTGGTGAGGCTGAGTGACTTGGTGTGTGTGTCAGCTACATGGATCAGGTGGTAAGGCTGAGTGACTTGGTGTGTGTGTCAGCTACATGGATCAGGTGGTGAGGCTGAGTGACTTGGTGTGTGTGTCAGCTACATGGATCAGGTAGTGAGACTGAGTGACTTGGTGTTTGTGTCAGCTACATGGATCAGGTGGTGAGGCTGAGTGACTTGGTGTGTGTGTCAGCTACATGGATCAGGTGGTGAGGCTGAGTGACTTGGTGTGTGTGTCAGCTACATGGATCAGGTAGTGAGACTGAGTGACTTGGTGTTTGTGTCAGCTACATGGATCAGGTGGTAAGACTGAGTGACTTGGTGTGTGTGTCAGCTACATGGATCAGGTGGTGAGGCTGAGTGACTTGGTGTGTGTGTCAGCTACATGGATCAGGTGGTAAGACTGAGTGACTTGGTGTGTGTGTCAGCTACATGGATCAGGTGGTGAGGCTGAGTGACTTGGTGTGTGTGTCAGCTACATGGATCAGGTGGTGAGACTGAGTGACTTGGTGTGTGTGTCAGCTACATGGATCAGGTGGTGAGGCTGAGTGACTTGGTGTGTGTGTCAGCTACATGGATCAGGTGGTGAGGCTGAGTGACATGGTGTGTGTGTCAGCTACATGGATCAGGTGGTGAGGCTGAGTGACTTGGTGTTTGTGTCAGCTACATGGATCAGGTGGTGAGACTGAGTGACTTGGTGTGTGTGTCAGCTACATGGATCAGGTGGTGAGGCTGAGTGACTTGGTGTTTGTGTCAGCTACATGGATCAGGTGGTGAGGCTGAGTGACATGGTGTGTGTGTCAGCTACATGGATCAGGTGGTGAGACTGAGTGACTTGGTGTGTGTGTCAGCTACATGGATCAGGTGGTAAGGCTGAGTGACTTGGTGTGTGTGTCAGCTACATGGATCAGGTGGAAAAGGCTGGTTCCCTGAATGTCATCATACGCCGATGGGGAGGGGCGTTGATGATAATGTCAATCACTGGGTTGTCTGGTCCAGACTTAATTATTTAGAGGCTGTTGTCATTCAGCTGGAATACTGCTGAGTGTACAGATAATTTATCCTGTTTATTTCTGCATGTTGTTCTGTTACTATTGCAGCCTACCAATGTTGTACCTCATGAGTGTGTGAAGCTCTTCAAGCCCAACATGGCGCCACGGCTGGCACAGAGTCGGCTGGAGATTGTGGAGACACTGTACAAGGATCTGGGTCTCTCTACCAGGTACTGGCATCATGTCGAAACAAGGGTCAACTGTCTACATCGTCGTCATACTTCTGTCTTAGCTGAAACTACAATAACATTTAGTGTGAGAATAAAACATTTGTGTCTTTTCAGTGGGCTAAACGTTGACAACCTCATGCCTTTCTGTGTGGAAGCACTGAACCACAACGCCGGAGAGGTGCGAGAGGTCTCCGAGAGAATCATCAAGAATCTGTACCGCGAAGTAGGAGCCCCTGTCAAGGACTTCCTTCCCCCAGATGATGAGAAGACGCGGAAGAACACTCTATGGCGACAGTTGTTTGAATATTTTGACAAGGTGGACGGCAAGCCCAGTAAATCTGATCAGAAGGTGAAATATCGTTAAGTTTACTAACCTGGTTGCAAGGTGTTTGGTGATACTGCATGCTTCCTTTGTTCTTGATGAAAATGTAAGGTTTGCAAGATGATTCTTAAAGGATACTCCTGAGAAATGTAGGGCTGTCATTTAAAATGTCTTCTTGAGAGGTCAGATGTAGGTGGCACAGGTCTGATTTCATGACTAGTGCTAGTATAACAACTACTTCTATAAATATTGCAAACTGAGACTTAACCTGGCTAGATAAATTTTGTTTTTTAAGCATTATTGCATAGCAAAGAAACCGTTTCAAAATTTGATTTTTTTTCTTCCTGGTCTTATGCCATTGACATTAGTGAGTCGATAATGAAAGAAGACACAGTGTCTTAATTATCAAGGCACTTATGACACTGTCTAGACACATCTCTGTGTGTATAGGTGATCATCCATCCCCTTGATGGGGCATCTTCCTGAGGCAAGGGAGTTAGCTGACTATAAAAGTCCATTTTCAACCCTTGCCAAACTAGGCTGGAATTATGGATTTGTATATTTTACCTGGGCTAATGGGTCTATGCTTAGTCCAATCAAAATCATGTATCGAAGTCGACATCAGGTTTCTCTGCCGTGCAGTTTTCATTCAATTGCAGGATTTGCAAAGTATTTGTACCGTCAGCGTAATGTCAACAGATATTTTCCAAATATTTTGATGTTTTTAATCAAGGTGCTCACATAGTGTGAACCCCATCGCGAAGTAAGACCCGTTTTATTTCTATATAGGTCATGACTATCGATCATATCATCTTGATTGGGCGCCACCATTTTGTTTGAAGGAAATGCAAGTAATATGAGAGGTGGAATCTGATTGGTCAATAGTACGGACATAGAAGGGACATAACTTGTAATAGCCACTTGTCTCGATATAATCGAGCCCAGAAATTTCATCCAAGTTTGGCAAGGGTGAATACTGGATTTATATAGGCAGTTAACTCCCTTGCCTTGGGAAGATGTTGATGCAGCTTCTATGCAGTGTAGTGATGATGCCTTGTTTAGTCAGCTGATGAAATACAGCTGTGTAAAACGCACATATATTTGTAAATATTGTAGTATGTTTTTCTTATTGGTTGAAGCATGATGCTGTTGAGAAGTTCCCCCAAGGAAATGATTTTCTACCAGTTTGTATAAAGTATATTCAGTGGGGGGAATGGGAGACAACTTTTGTACATAAAGTGTTGTAAAGGGAGACAACTTATGTACATGAAATGAAGTATTGTAAAGGTAGACAGCCTACGTACATGAAGTTTTGTAAAGGGAGATAATTTATGTACAGTCAAGTTTCATTAATCCGATACTCGTTAATACGACAATCGGCTTTATCCGACACTAATGATGGGAACCGATTAAATCAGTGGTATTTAGACCCGTTCATCCAACAGTTGTTTTGTGTTAAACTTTAGAGGTTGCGTGCTTAAAAAACATATTCCGCCAACAATGTAACAGAACAAAATGAATTTTTATTTGTTATTTTTTGATTACGTGTTTGAATCGTTATCTGTCGCGAAGCTGTCCAATTTTCGATCACAAACGTTGATACTACTTAATTTCGTTTATCCGACATACTCGTTACTCTGACATAATCATATGCAACCATCGATGTCGGATTAACGGGACTTGACTGTACATAAAGTGTTGTAAAGGGAGACAACTTATGTACATGAATTGTAAAGGGAGGCAACTTACATGTACATGAATTTCAAGCTCCTGAAAGCGATATTGCTGCCTACAGTCATAAGCTCCTCACTGTGATGGGTGGCCACAGCCATGCTTGGAGTTGAACTCGCAACTGACGGACTGTTAACAAACAAGCGATGACTGCCGTGACACGTAATACTCTCACCCTAACTAAATTATTTTCCTTGTTTGTCAATTTGAATTTCTATTTCATTTCAACTATCATGCAATTGGTATAGTAAGAATGTAAGCGGTAATTTGGGTGATTTTCCGTTCATCTGCAATCTCGATCCAATCTGATCAAACAAACAAAAAGTTAAATTCATCTGGGATATATGGTCAGTCGTAAACCTTTTCAAAAATAACTGTGATGGCATTCCCAAAGACATAAACAAAAGTATACACAATACTACATTTGGGGTTAGAGGGCAAATTTCAAGAGTCTTGTAATGGCCGACACTGGTGGCAGCGATGTTACCGATTGTGTAACGAAGGTGTCACGCGCTGGGAAGGAGCTTGACATGAAGTTTTGAAAAGGGAGTCAACTTACCTACATGAAGTGTTGAAAGGGAGACAATTTATGTACATGAAGTGTTTATTGATTGGATGCTGACAATGCAATATACTGGTATGGATTGGTTCTTTTCATGCTGAGATTCGCATCTCCACCCACTTTAGGTTCTTATGCAAATCTCTGTGGGTACATCTTGCAACTGGATGGACATTTTGAACCAGTCAAGTCGTGTCCATGACGAACGTTGATACATTTCTGTGATATCAGTTTTCCATCCATTATGAATCTATATCATACCTTGTGTTTGTCCTGACATTGATGCAATGAAGGTTTAACGAAAACTCATTTTTTTTTCATTTCAATAATTAACTAAGTTGATTGTATCCTGATGTTGCTGTTCAATTGCAAACAATATTATGACAATTCATATGATTTTGGTGACTAAATGGGTCGGTTGTGTCCTTGGTTGATTCTATCGTATCCTAATCGCGTGGATTGATGCTCATGATGTCAATCACTGAATTGTCTGGTTCAGACTTGATTATTTACAGACCGCCGTCATATAGCTGGAATATTGCTGAGTGTGGCATTAAGCAAAGCAAATTTATCAGGGTCAACTTGTTTAAATCAGCTACACAGGGAAAGGCTTTAGTTATATTATGGGATAATTGTTGGCACATGTAAAGCGTCTCCACAGGATAAATAGGGACAGGTGACATTCATTTTTGTATCAGAAATATTGTTGAAATTAATATACCAGTAGTTTTAGGAGTTCACAGTTTTCTAGGATGCAGAAAATCCAAATGCCAAATAAATGTGAATGTTTTATTTCCCCCAGTAATCTGTGTCTTAGAATCATTGCGGTACAAGATCATGTTGCATGTCTGTCTAATCTATCCCTTGTCAACTAACATGCTATTTAATGACTGTGTAATGTCGGCACTGCATGTTTGTTTGCACACATTAATCATGGTTAGCTTGGTGACTGCATGGAGTCTATGGTTGGAGGATATTTACAGAATATCAATAATATTTAGTCAATAATATGTTTGTAGATTCACTCTCTGCAATTGCAAAACTTTTTAATGATGGTAGTCCTCATTTACTTGTAGCATTTGAGGGCTTTAATTCAGTAAAATGTAAAAGTAATGTAAATGTAAACATTGTAAATATTTTCGTCTTGTTCAAGCAGGACTAGCTACAGACTCTGCGGACTAGTGGAATAAGGGTTATGCTAGTTCTCTGGTCTTGTTGTAAACAGACTCGACTTTCTATGGCTACATACCCTTACAGCATGGGTTGTTTCTCAGGCACTCAACTGTTGCCTCAATCTTATTAAAATCAGATCTAAGTTCTGGCTGCCGCTAAACAAAGATCTGAGGACATCCCATTACAGGTCACGTCAGAACGACGTTTTGCGAACTTTGACCGACCACTGAAATGACTAACAAGAAATCGACATCAGCCACTAAGAAAGCAGTTTTCTCGAGCTTTCAACCTGGCGATTTCCATTTCAGACTATGCTTGAAAAATAAGTTGACACAGTTCTCGATTAAAATTTTGGAAAGTGAACAAACGAACATTCCAGAATGTCTAATATATAGTTGCTATTGTATGGCAGGGCTTCCCACGTACTGTGCTACACCTCCTCCGTTCAAATGTATATCCCCACGGAAGTGAGAGATAGACGATAATTTTGGCTGAATCAGTCGTATGGGCCGTAACTGTCGTTTGGAATACCCCGTGTTAACGTTTTCGAGGTTGCATGATTAGAAAACACATTCCGACTGTCACTTTCATGATCTGGTAAGCGACACTTTGATTGGTTGGATGAAAGGTCGTTCTGACGTGACCCGTAATGGGATGTCCTCAGATCTTTGTTTAGCAATAGCGAGAACTAAGATCTGATTTTAATGAGATTGGTGTTGCCTGGCCCTGACGTGATGTAGACATTATGAAACATTGTCCGGCATTCGGTACACAAATACCATTGAATTTGTAAATCATCAAGGGGCGGTCGGGTAGCTTAGTGGTTAAAGCGTTTGTTCGTCACACCCAAGACACGTGTTCGATTCCCGACATGTGTACAATGTTTGAAGCCCGTTTCTGGTGTCCCCCGCTGTGATATTGCTGGAATATGGCTAAAAGCAGCGTAAAACCTAACTCACTCACTCACTTATGTAGACTTACAAAACGCTGTGCTAGGCCTGGAATACGGAGCACTACAGCACAAAACAACAGGCACTTACTCTTTAATGATTCTGATATTGTGGAGGTAGAAGTTGACAAATGTTAGAACAGACACTGAGTTGCCAATTTGTACATGTTTCTCCATAAGTATTGACATTGAATCATGTTTCACGAAGAGTACATGATCACATCATTGTGTGGTCTTTGGTAGAAGGTCCTTCAGACATGTGAGGCATACGTCTCAACATTTTTGTACTTTGTTAATAAGTTAGAATGTGGATCGCACTGTTTATCATGTTCACTATTTATTACCCATTCTCACCTGACATTTCTTCTTACATAATCACCTGTCTATTGTAATACTGTGTTGTCTGGATTAATCATGTTTGTATATTCCATATGGATACCATCAATTTCTAAGCCACACTGTGATATGAGAGTGCGGATTATGTATTTGGGACATTTTTTAAATCAATTTCTGAAAATTAACCGATGGAAAATTCCTCACTTCAGTGTACAGCTTGTAAAGATAACAGATCAAACATTGAATATTCTTGGGGGCCAAGGATTTTGATATAGAATC